AAAACACAGGTTGCAAGAGATCAAGTGAAAAACCAGAACAACCCAGGCTAGCAAAAAGGACAGGAACCTCCCACCAGAGCTGGTGGGGACTGGTATATAGGAAAGGATGTAAAGCTTAGTGCCAATGACTGCATAAAAGCCCATATACACCACACCATCTTGCAGCTAGTCACAAAAAATTCAGCCCTGTAAAAGACAAGAAGGAAAAAAAGGAGATGCCAGAACATAAGGTATTTTTAGGTACATGCTGTGATCTTCAGCATTCTTAATGTCATCTTCATTCTGGGCACCAATCTTCGTCTGAAAGCACAATCATAACCCTCACACATTCATGCAACTATTGGGCTGCTCCAGGAGAGGCTCTCTAGTGTCTTGAATACATCCTATTTGTACACCAAAAAAGCCTTAGCCAAAGTTCATGTAAAAACTAGAAAATGCTCACAGAATTTTTATCAGCTTTAACCTGACAAAGGGGAGATTGAAATGAGCTCTTAGGCAGAAGTTCTTCCCTGTGAGGGTGGTGAGGACCTGACACAGGTTGCCCAGAGAAGCTGCGGCTGCCCCATCCCTGCCAGTGCTCAAGGCCAGGTTAGATGGGGCTTGGAGAAACCTGGCCTAGTGGAAAGTGTCCCTGCCCATGGCAGGGGGTTGGAACTGGATGAGCTTTAAGGTCCCTTCCAACACAAACCAGTCTGGGATGCTGTGGTTTTTAAAATGTCAACTCTAACCATCAAGGCAACTATCAAGATCCTCCCCTAGTAAACAAGAGGAACAATTCTTGCTTTAAAGAAGCAATGTGCCAAATCAGAGCTATCAAATCAATTTCTTTTCCCATTATTTCCTGATTTTCTGCTCATTCAATGACAGACAACTAACTAGTATTTAGAAGGAATATGAGAGGGAGGAGCTGGTTGTATTTACTCAAGTAAGTGCTTGGGTGCAGTAATGAGTTTGTTTTAAAATATTCATATTATATAAATGTTAGTTGAAGTTGACAGTAAATATTGAATAGACGTATCAAAAGGGCAGCATGTCGTCTTCACTTCTCCCATGCTGTCTAACATTCAGGCAGCTGTTTGCTCTGATTATATCCATTTTCTTACAGAAAATTAATTTAAAAAAAAATTACCAAAACGATGATCAAACATGACAGATGAAGAAAGGAGTGAGTTTAAAGATCATACCGCCCACAAGAGATTATGATAAAATTATGAAGACTAGTACCTGATTTGTATCAATAATTAGTACCTACTTTTAGGTCTCTTTTTCAGGACATTAGAACGAAAGACACACGGAGGAATGAGGCCTAAAGCAATTGTAATTTTTCAGCACAAGGTAGGGAAGCACCAGGAATGTGCTGTTGCTAAAAAACCCATTTCCACCATTTTTTTTTTCTAAGTGATGTATGACAAAGTGTGTCATAAGTGTTCACGCAGATATGGCAAAGACCAAAACCACTCATGAGACAGGGACAAAAAGAAGAAAATAGGACTAAAAGTGGTGTGAATGTCTCAAGCACATGTGTCCCATTGTGTCTACAGGCAAAATGCTACGACCACCTCCTGTCTTTTATAATATGGTTTCTAAATCTGGCATTACTTATCAAGAGAGCTGGTACTGCTTACATCCTTTCTGAGCTAAAAAAAAATGCTCCTTTGCCTGAAAGACCTTATCATAAATGTCTCCACAACACCTACACGTTTAAAGATGCAGAGTCTGAAATGGATGATGGGTCTATTGGATTCAAAATGCTGCCTGCGTGTCATGGTTTAAGCCCAGCCAGTAACTCACAGCCATGCAGCCGTTCACTCACTCCCCCCACTTCTTCCTCTCCCCACTCCAAGAGGGATGGGGAGGAGAATTGAAAGAATGTAACTCCCACGGGTTGAGATAAGAACAGCCCAGTAACTAAGGTATAACACAGACCCACTACTGCTACCAACAATATTAATAATGATAAGGGAAATAACACGGGAAGAGAATACAATACCACCCGTCGATACCCAGCCCAACCGAGCAGTGAACTGCCCCTTCCGGCTAACTCCCAGTTACATCCTGGGCATGACATGCTGTGGTATGGGACACCTCTTTGGTTAGTTTGGGTCAGGTGTCCTGTCTCTGCTTCCTCCCAGCTTCCCCTCCTCCCTGACAGAGCAAGAGACTCAGAAAGGCCTTGGTCAGAATAAACATTACTGAGCAGCAACTAAAACCATCGGTGTTATCAGCGCTGTTGCCAGGCCGAAAGTAAAAAATACAGCGCTGCACCAGCTACTAAGAAGGAGAAAAATGACTGCTACTGACGAACCCAGGACACTATCCACTCCTTATTCCATACCATTCACGTCATGCTCAGATCCCACATTTTTCAATATACCATCACTCTTGTCTCATATATTTATATATATAAATATACATATTTTTATATATATACATATATATATATATATACACATGCACAAACACACACAAGTGCACACACACACACACACAGATATCATTCTTTAGGCCATGGAACAATACCTATAAATCTGCTGAATTCATCCAGTCCATGATGTTGGGCTCCATCTTTTGTAGCAGTCTTTCAGAGCAGGAGACATGGTGTGCAGTTTTGGATCGCTGTCTGCTGATGACACCATGGAACTTGTCTGGTCACTACTGAGCTCATCTGGTTTCATCATTCTTTGTTGGGCTGATGGCTGGAGGAAGTCAGGGCCAGTCACTGGTGATCTGAAGACATCTAGTTGGCGGGCTATAAAAGTGCTACATAGCAGGCAACAGCACACAATTGAGTTGATTGACTATTTTTGCCTAAAATCAAATCCCCTTGAGGTACACATCGGACTTCCCCATCTTCCTGCATTACCCACCAAGTATATTCAGGTCCCTGAGCAAAAGCAATCCCATGAGTGGGTTTGCCTTTACCTGAAGCAGGAATAACCCAGACTGTCTTCCTCAGCAAATTCTGCATGTGCACCACAGGAACTTTATCCCCTTCTGCAATACGTAGGAGTTCTGACTGAGCTGGACAAGCTCTGTTGGCAGATCCTCTGGTGTTGACCAACCAGGTGGCTTTTGGTAAATGTGTATCCCAATGCTTGAAAGTCCCACCACCCATTGATCTCAGTGTACTTTTTAACAGCCCATCGTACCATTTGATTTTCCCAGAGGCTGGTGCATGGTAGGGGGTGTGATATACCCACTCAATGCCATGCTCTTTGGCCCAAGTGCCTATAAGGTTGTTCCAGAAATGAGTCCCATTGTCTGACTTAATTCTCACTCTGGGGTGCCGTGTCACCACAAAATCTGTTTCTCAAGGCCCAGGATAGTGTTCCGGGCAGTGTCATGGGGCACAACATATGTTTCTAGCCATGAGACTTAAAAAGTCTTTGGTCAGAGTAAACATTACCTAGCAACAACTAAAACCATCGGTGTTATCAGCGTCGTTCCCAGGCTGAAAGTCAAAACCACAGCACTGCACCAGCTACTAAGAAGGAGAAAAAAACTACTGCTACTGCTGAACCCAGGACGCTGTGTGATGTGAACAGAGATCTGAAGAGGGAAGAGATAGTGTCATCTAATTTCCTCCTAATTTATTATTGACAGAAGTCTGCCTGCTACTAGAGGGTTGCTGGTGTTGGAGTTCACATTCCTCATGTTCCTTACAATCCTCCAGGACTTATGTTAGTAGATTGTATCAAGCATGTATAAATGCAACTGTATTCACAATTACATTAGTTTACCTTCATGACTAAAATACTTTGTCTTTTGGGCTGTCTGCACTTCTCTATAACTGATGCTTCTACTTTCAGCACTTCTGAACTAATGGATGCTTCCTTGTTCAGTAGCCTGGCTGAGTTCAAGCATTTTTGTAGAGAATGTATTTTTTTTTAATTTCCCTTTTTTTTTTTTTTTCTTTTTCCCCCTCGATAACCAAACAACCCAAAATGCTTGAAATATTTATGGAACATTAACGAGGGAAGAGCTTCAAATGGTTGCAGTGAATAGAGAAGAATTTTGAAAGCCAAGGAGCTACTTAAGCATTGTTTTAGCTCTTCTTTCCTCCCTCATAATCAGCAAAGTCTTTCTGCAGAAAAAACCCTATCAGAATCTTTCACTGCTAAGCTGCCATGTACAGTTTTTGGTTAGAGAATTGTTACTAACATATTCTTTTCCATCAGCCTTACACTGACAGAGGATGTAGAAGCATACCCGTCAGGAAGCAAAAATTATTTTTCTTGGGAGGCTTTTGCCACCAGCAGTTTGATGAATTTGAAGTCTCAGACTTAACTTGTTTCTCATTTGGTATAGATGGTCATAGTCTTTGGGCTAGAAGTGAGAAAACACATGTTCTTTTGCAAGTGCTCTCAGGCCACAGGCATGCTGGGCTCATCTCTCCCAACTTACGTAAAGGTCTGCTCCTCTAATTACCTGGAATAGAGAATGGAGAAGGGAAGGGAAAAGACGGGACAGGAAAGGAAGGGAAGGGAAGGGTAGGAGTCCTTCTGCCGGAAGACTAGTATTTGTGCATAAACTCATTTTGATAAATCCATTTTTGCATTGCCTAAGTGCCTTGCTTTTCAAAGATTCAACTCAGCAGTATTCACTGGAGTGTAAGTGCAAAGTCTTCAGAGGCTTTTCTGGCAGAAGTTTGTTTTTGTTTTTTTTTAAATATTTTTAGATTTTTTTAAATTGTGTTATTTCCTTTTAATTTCATGGAACTAAAAGGGAATAACTGAAAATATTTGCCTTTTTTCAAACATGCCTCAAAACTCACAGGCCCTGGCATCCAGAAACATGCATTCCTAGTGAACCCCCAAAACACTGACTGTTTCAGCATTAGGGCTCTTTACGTTTACCTCAGCCTGCCATCACAATAAGGAACACGAGGACACAGACAAAAGCATTCAACAGATGTGTTGCTCCGTTCCACACTTTAATTTGAGCCTTACTTCTCCACTGCATTTATTTTAGACTCTTTTTTTTTGACCCAGACCCAGCCTTGGTGTGGCTGAAATAAGTGGATTTACACTGGGGAGTTTTTTTGCCTGCTATGCTAACATCCCTATTTATTCATAATCAGCCTGTCTTGAGGTGTTTTCAAGGTTTCCTTTATTTTCAGCTGAGTGAAGAATTGCTCCTATAAATAACACTGGTATGGGAGAGAGAGGGGAGAGAGATTAAAGAATACAACCCAGAGATATGTAAGTACAGGCAACAAAACTCCTCAACAGCTTTTATTCTATTATCACAGAGCACCATTTCAGCTAGCACTACTGAGGCAATGCAAGACTTTACTACTGGGCATAAACAACACATAAGGAGCATCTCTGGGACCCTGGGTAACTCCCATTAGTGGGGGAAGCTCTTTGTAAGTCACATGTTGGTTTACCACCTTATTTTATTAACTCTGACTCACTAGACGGCAGCAGTGCTCTGCAATACACCAACAGCTAACTTCTCCAGGTCTCACTGTGTGATGGATTTCCTGATGCTGACTTCTGGGGTATTTTTCTGATGAGAGGATCATGCAGGTGATGAGCTTGGGTGTTGGTGGAACAGTAGCTGGAGACAACAAATAAAAACAAAGGTCTGCCTGGATTTCTGTGCGTGCAGCCCTCTGTACATAGCTGACTGAGCCAGCCCATGCCTTCTCCCCAGGCAGCACGGGGGAGTATAAAACTTGTCACTGACCTCCATCTCCTCTCCTACCACAGGGATTGGGATGAGGGAAAAATTGTCTCTTGACCCGTGTCCCCTTTGACAGCATGGAACCAGGACATGTCACTGTCTGATTCCCGCCACCCAGACATCTCCCTTGGGGCCACTTTCATGACTTAGAGATCTACAAGTCATGGAATCATACAATCCCAGACTGGTTTGGGTTGGAAGGCACCCCAAAGCTCATCCAGTTCCAACTCCCTGCCATGGGCAGGGACACCTTCCACTAGACCAAGGTGCTCCAAGCCCCATTCAACCTGGCCTTGAACATTGCCAGGGATGGGGCAGCCACAGCTTCTCTGGGCAACCTGTGCCAAGGCTTCACCACCCTCACAGGAAAGAACTTCTGCCTAAGAGCTCACCTCAATCTCCCCTCTGTCACGCTAAAGCCATTTGCCCTTGTCCTGCCCCTACGGACCCTTGTCCAAAGCCCCTCTTCAGGTTTCTTGTAGCCCCTTTAGGCACTGGAGCTCCTCTAAGGTCTCCCGAAGCCTTCTCTCCTCCAGGCTGAACAAGCCCAGCTCTCTCAACCAGCCTTCACAGGGGATCACTGTTCTTGTGAGGAACGCAGAAACATGGGCTCAGTATATCAACAGGTAGATATAGTCCTGACCCTCACAAACACTGCTTTTAATATGATTCATACAAGTAAAGTAGAATAATATTCTTGGGGTGTCAGGTTTTCATTTATTTTTTTTTACAAACAGAATCAACCAAAGGCTTGCAATATTACTGGCAAGTGCTTGGAACACATTTCTTGATGCCCAAGGAACTGAGATAGAGAGTAGAGACCTGTGGCACTTCCACTGAGTGTTTGAAGAATGCTCCTGTCAGGTTGTTAACTTGCTCCACCAAAGTAACACACCAGTTACTTTGCTCATTACACTCTTCCCTGTGAGGCAGGGGATGGATTTTAAAGTTCTTTTTCTGACCTGCCAGACATCCAGTGGTCCAGTTCCTGTCAACTGGCACAAGCACTTCTCCCTTCTGGCACTGCAGATTTGAGTGCTGTCGTGATTTAACCCCAGCCAGCAACTGAGTCCCACGCAGCTGCTCACTCACTCCCTTCCCATGGGATGGGGCATAGAACTGAAGAGTAAAACTGAGCAAACTCAATGAATCCATTCACCACTTCCCATGGTCATGTAGTTCAGTCATCCCCAGCACAGCAGGGCTCCATCACATGCAATAGTGACTTGCAAAGACAAACACCATCACTCTGAACATCCCTTTCCTTCTTCTTCCCCCATCTCTTATATCTGAGCATGATCTCCTATGGTCTGGGATACCCCTGCGCTCAGTTGGGGTCAGCTGTCCTGGTGGTGGCCCCAACTCCCTGTGCACCCCAGCCTGCTTGCTTGTGGGATAGGGTGAGGAGCAGAAAAGGCCTTGGCTCTGTGTGAGCACTGATCAGCAGTAACGAAAGCATCCCTGTGTGATCAGCACTGTTTCCAGCACAAACCCAAACCAGAGCCCCACACCAGCCACTGTGGAGAAAATTAACTCTAACCAGCCAAAACCAGCACAAGGCTGCTGTCCATCATTTGCTGCTAGCTCTAATACAAAGAACTTCACCTTTCTTTGCATTCCACATTGGAACACTTTGCCAATTTGTAGTCTGCTCAGTCATAGTAAGATTTTTTACACACAAATGCTGCTCTGGGGAACTGGGAGCATTTACTGGCCCCTAGCTGATATAATTATACTCTCATTGCTGTTATGAGTTTTTCAAATGCTTTAGTGTATGTTAAAACAACAGAGATGAAACTTTGATGTTCAGTACAAGGACTCTCTTTGCGAGAGAGAGGCTGACGTGGCGGGGGGCGTTTCCACGGTGACGGCGGGAGATTTAAAAGCGGCCTAAACTCGCTGCTAGCATTCAGTCAGCTGATCGGAGCTAGCCTAGCTAGAGCCACAGCCGGCACGCTTCAGCGACGCGAGGGTCAACGGAGATTAGGAAAATCAGAGGGGATAGCGCAGAGACATCGCGATTCCCGACATCTCCCGATCCCCGAAGCCCCAGCAGCCCTTGCGAGAGAGAGGCTGACGTGGCGGGGGGCGTTTCCACGGTGACGGCGACCACTCCCCTGCTGCTTGCCTTGAAAAAGCCTTTGAGAGGGCAGCGACCGGTCGCTGCCCACCGGGCACAGGGAGGAACAAGCAGGTCGTGTTGCTGGTGTCCCAGACTGCGCACCAATATGGTTGCCTCCAGAAAGAGAGCTTGCAGTAAGGTGACTACAGCAACTCAGACAGAGACCCCGTCCCAGACCGTGGCTGTTCAGGTCTCTGGGTGCAGGGAGTGCCAGAGCCTGCTGCTGCCGGGGGAGGGAGGACAGCATTCCACCTGCGTGAGGTGTGAGCAGGTAGAAGATCTGCTTAGCCTGGTGGCAAGACTTAAGGAGGAGGTTGAGACACTGAGGACCATCAGGGAGTGTGAAAGGGAAATCGACTGGTGGAGTAACTCCCTGGCGGGCCAGTCGAAACGGTTCCAGGGAGATACCCCCCAAAAGGGGAAGGACCCCCTGCCTTCTCACACAGAGGGGGATGGCCCGAGGCAGCCCCTGCCCTGTAGCTGTTGCGCAGAGGTAGGGGACCAAAAAGACGACGAGGGTTGGAAGCGAGTTCCAGTTCGACGTCGTGGGAAACCCTCCCCCCTTCCTGCCCTGCTTCCCCAGGTGTCCCTCCGTAATAGGTTCGAGGCCCTGGATCTTGAAGGAGAGGTAGGTGAGAAGGTGGGGCAAGGCCAGCCCACAAGGCCACATAGGAAAAGGGAGTCAACTTTGCACCTCAAGACTGCCTCTGTTAAGAAAGAAAGAAGGGTCATTGTAGTAGGGGATTCCCTTCTGAGAGGAACAGAGGGCCCGATATGCAGAGTAGACCCTCATCATAGGGAAGTGTGTAGTCTGCCTGGAGCCCGGATCAGGGATATCACCAGGGCGCTCCCCAACCTGGTGCACCCGACAGACTATTACCCGCTGCTGGTCTTCCAGACAGGTGGGGAGGAAGCTGCTTCCCGCAGTCTGAGGGGGATGAAGAAAGACTACAGGGCCTTGGGGCGGATGGTGAAAGAGTCTGGGGCTCAAGTGATCTTCTCCTCTCTCCTTCCATCTTCCACTGATGTGGGAAGGAATGGGAAGATTCAGTTCATGAACAATTGGCTTCGAGACTGGTGCTACAGGCAGGGCTTTGGATTCTTTGATAACGGCTGGTTTTATAGGGCACCAGTCTGGACAATGACAAGTGAGAAAGGTTTGTCTCACAGAGGGAAAAGGATGCTGGGGCACGAATTAGCAGGGCTCATTTGGAGAGCTTTAAACTAGATTCGAAGGGGGATGGGCTTGTAGCTGGGCTTGCCCCAGTGGGGCAGCGCTCCAGAATTAATGAAGACTGGGAGGCCTCCTACAATCCTAGGGTGAAATCGGTGTGCTCAGCTCGCTCCCTGAAATGTCTGTACACCAATGCGCGCAGCATGGGAAATAAGCAGGAGGAGTTGGAAACCTGTGTTAAGTCAGGAGATTATGATCTGGTGGCAATTACAGAGACGTGGTGGGACAGCTCACATGACTGGAATATAGTCATGGAAGGCTATGTCCTTTTCAGGAAAGACAGGCCAGCCAGGCGGGGTGGTGGGGTTGCTCTTTATGTGCGGGAGGAACTACAGTGCACAGAGTTCTGTCCAGGGACAGATGATGAGCGAGTTGAGAGTCTGTGGGTGAGAATTAAGGGGCAGGCTGGCAGGGGGGATACTGTTGTAGGTGTCTGTTACAGACCACCGGATCAGGGTGAGGAAGTTGACGAGACCTTCTACAGGCAGCTGAGAGCGGCCTCACAGTCACAGGCCGTGGTCGTCGTGGGGGATTTTAACTTCCCTGATGTTTGCTGGAAGGACCACTCGGCAACCCAGCCACAGTCCAGGAGGTTCCTCCAGTGTATGGATGATAACTTCCTCCTGCAAATGGTGGATGAGCCGACCAGGAGAGGAGCGCTGCTGGATCTCATCCTCACTAACAAGGAGGATCTGGTCGAAGCAGTAAGGGTTGAGGGCTGCCTTGGTTGCAGCGACCACGAGATGGTGGAGTTCAGGATCTTGTGTGGCAGGACTAGTAGAATACCAAGTAGAATTGCAACCCTGGACTTTAGCAGGGCAAACTTTGGCCTTTTCAAGCAATTGCTAGGGGAAATCCCATGGGCAGGGCTGCTTGAAGGTAAAGGGGCCCAAGATAGTTGGTTGACATTCAAGGACTGCTTTTTCCGTGCTCAAGATCGGAGCATCCCGACACGTAGGAAGTCAAGGAAGAGGGCCAAGAGACCTGCGTGGCTAAACAGGGAATTGCTGGGTATGCTCAAGTGGAAGAGGAGTTTACAGGTCATGGAAGGAGGGGCTGGCCACTTGGGAGGAATATAAGGCTGCTGCTAGAGGATGTAGGAAGGCAGCTAGGAGGACTAAGGCATCCTTAGAATTAAACCTGGCAAGAAGGGTCAAGGACAGCAAAAAGAGCTTTTTTAAATACATGGCAGACAAAACTAACACCAGAGGCAATGTAGGCCCACTGATGAACGGGATGGGTGCCCTGGTGACAGAAGATAAAGAGATGGCAGAGTTACTGAATGCCTTCTTTGTCTCTGTCTACTCTGCTGCGGGCAGTCCTGAAGAGCCCTGTACCCCTGAGACCTTAGATGAAGTCAGGTCGACGGAGCGGTTTGCCTTAGTCGATGAGGAATGGGTTAGAGACCAGTTGAGCAATCTGGACATCCATAAATCCATGGGTCCAGATGGGATGCACCCGCGGGTGCTGAGGGAACTGGCGGAAGTCATTGCTAGACCACTCTCCATCATCTTTACCAAGTCTTGGGAAACGGGAGAGGTGCCTGAGGACTGGAGGAAAGCAAATGTCACTCCAGTCTTCAAAAAGGGCAAGAAGGAGGACCCGGGTAACTACAGACCGGTCAGCCTCACCTCCATCCCTGGGAAAGTGATGGAACACCTTATCCTTGATACCATCTTAAGGCATATCAAGGATAAGAAGGTTATGAGGGGCAGTCAACATGGCTTCACCAGGGGGAAATCATGTTTGACCAATCTCTTAGCCTTTTATGAGGAAATAACACGGTGGATGGATGATGGCAGAGCGGTGGATGTGGTCTACCTTGACCTCAGCAAAGCATTTGACACAGTCTCCCACAGCATCCTCGCGGCTAAAATGAGGAAGTGTGGACTGGATGATCAGGTAGTGAGGTGGACTGCGAACTGGCTGAAGGAGAGAAGCCAGAGAGTTGTAGTCTATGGGGCTGAGTCTAGTTGGAGGCCTGTAACTAGTGGAGTGCCTCAAGGGTCAGTACTGGGACCGGTATTATTTAATATATTCATCAATGATTTAGATGAGGGAATTGAGTGTACTATCAGCAAGTTTGCTGATGACACTAAGCTGGGAGGAGTGGCTGATACGCCAGAAGGCTGTGCTGCCATCCAGCGAGACCTGGATAGGCTGGAGAGTTGGGCAGGGAGTAACTTGATGAAATATAACAAGGGAAAGTGTAGAGTCCTGCATCTGGGCAGGAACAACCCCAGGTTCCAGTATAGGTTGGGGAATGACCTGTTAGAGAGCAGTGTAGGGGAGAGGGACCTGGGGGTCCTAGTGAACAACAGGATGACCATGAGCCAACACTGTGCCCTTGTGGCTAAGAAGGCCAATGGCATCCTGGGGTGTATTAGAAGGGCGGTGGTTAGTAGGTCGAGAGAGGTCCTCCTTCCCCTCTACTCTGCCCTGGTGAGACCCCATCTGGAGTATTGTGTCCAGTTCTGGGCCCCTCAGTTCAAGAAGGACAGGGAGCTGCTGGAGAGAGTCCAGCGCAGGGCAACAAAGATGATTAAGGGAGTGGAACATCTCCCTTATGAGGAAAGACTGAGGGAGCTGGGTCTCTATAGTTTGGAGAAGAGGAGACTGAGGGGTGACCTTATCAGTGTCTATAAATATATAAAGGGGGAGTGTCACGAGGACGGAGCCAGGCTCTACTCAGTGGCAAACAATGATAGGACAAGGGGTAATGGGTACAAACTGGAACACAAGAGGTTCCACTTAAACTTGAGAAGAAACTTCTTCTCAGTGAGGGTGACGGAACACTGGAACAGGCTGCCCAGGGAGGTTGTGGAGTCTCCTTCCCTGGAGACATTCAAAACCCGCCTGGACGCATTCCTGTGTAACATTATCTAGGTGTTCCTGCTCCGGCAGGGGGATTGGACTAGATGATCTTTCGAGGTCCCTTCCAATCTCTAACATACTGTGATACTGTGATACTGTGAAATCATCAAAACCATTCGGTGCTTTTTAAAAAGAAATACTACTGTTACACATATTTATTTCTAAGTTCTCACATGTAGTGGTCAGGTGAAGTCACAATACACCACAGGCCTGTCAAGCTCCACCATGCCATTCACCAACATGGCAGCTGCTGCTCAGCAGCTTGACATTTTAGGAGAAAAAGGACATGTGTGCTTGCTATCAGAAAATACATTTCAAGTTAGCTCAGTTGAACCTAACAGTAACCGCTTCAGAACGACAAACAGTCAATAAAACAAGGAGCACTTTAAGTGGCAACTTTGGAGCCCCCAGTTTGAATAGTCTGCTGTGTTCCTGTTTGGAAGAGCCTGTGCTCCAGTTAACATGAGTACTCTATACACAGAGACACATACATGTGTGTGTGCATGGCATAGCAGTGGGAAACAATATAAACACAGATGTACAGAGTTAAAATAATTTGTTCATAATTTTGTAATATGATAGGTTGGGAGTGGGGATTAATATCTAGAAAACTCAGGCCAAACCAAGGTACACACAAAGACGAACCCACAGCCCCTGTAGTCCTAAATTCCTGTCTCATGGCATGGCATTCCAAGTGAAACGAACACAAATGCAAGCGTCTCCTTTTTGCCTTGGTTTCTTGTGGAAGTAAGTCATCAGTGGTACTGCACTGTAAACTCTTGTGGATGTGGCAATCTGTCTGCTGGTGATTTCTCATTCTGTTTGGAGCCCTGAATCAAACATGTTTGTAAAGTTAATCTCAATTACAATTACACTGTCTGTAGGACAGAACTATCGTATGTGGCCCAAACAGACACACTCTTAAAACAGGAACTTGCATTTCTCATCTATCAATCATGAAATACCAATGCACACACGACCAGACTTAAACAGTCCCACTACTCACAGAACTGGCTTAAATGAGTGCAGCACCCACACACCTAAGTCAAAAGAACCTCTGAGTAAACCCCTCCCACCTTATATGCTAAGTGCCTATATTCTTATTTTAAAATGCTGGGAAATACCTTTATTGTACTCAGAAGATTTAGGTATTCATCTAAATGAAAACGTTCCATTCTGACATGTTTTTTTCCAAAAAAAAGAAACTAATGAGCTCTCACTGGATTAGATTTTGATGGTTTTGTCAGCATTTTTCTTCAATATCCTTTCACATTAGGCTTTAAGTGAAGGTTTTCTTAACAGCTTTCACCTTACAAAAAAGAAAAGTATTCCCAAAATGGGATTCGGACCCTTGACAGGACCAGGAAAAATATGGTAAAATTTTTAGGGGGCAAGAACTGCACCCCAGTTCCAGTGCGTGAATAAGGGCAGATGATTCATGATTTGATTCAGACCCTCTGAATGACTGTCAGAGGCAGTTAAATCTCTTTGGTAATTAGCCAGAGAGACTCTGGAGGCATTCAGGCCATCCAAATGTGAACTGCAGGATTTATGGATATACTGTAAGTGATAAACCTGGTGTTAAATTTCTGATCAGCTTTTGGAAGTCTTCGAAGCTGAGTCTGCTTCACTATGTGGAAAAAATCCTGAGCTGCTGAAGATGCTCTTTAAATTTTCTCATACGTCCAATGAAAGGCAGAACTTCCACAACGGTAGGAAAACTGACAAGAAAACTCATTTCTTCATGCCGCTCGTTTATCCTTCACAGAGTAACAACGGTACAGACGGAAGTTCTTTAAATGCATGCCTGTATGTGATTCAGTCACTAGTGTGTTTTATATTTTGGCTTCTACTAGACAACTGAAAACCCAGCATGTGGTGGGAAGCACAGCTCTTGTTCTTTTATAGAATCCCAGACTAGTTTGTGTTGGAAGAGACCTTAAGCTCTTCCAGTTCCAACCCCCTGCCACAGGTAGGGACACTTTCCACTAGACCAGGTTGCTCCAAGCCCCATCCAACCTGGCCTTGAACACTGCCAGGGATGGGGCAGCCACAGCTTCTCTGGGCAACCTGTGCCTGGGACTCAGCACCCTCACAGGGAAGAACTTCTGCCTAAGAGCTCACCTCAATCTCCCCTCTGTCAGGTTAAAGCCATTCCCCTTTGTCCTGTTCCTACAGGCCCTTGTCCAAAGCCCCTCTCCAAGTTTCTTGTAGCCCCTTTAGGCACTGGAGCTGCTCTAAGGTCTCCCCTTAAGGAGCCTTTTCTTCCCCAGGCTGAACAAGCCCAGCCCTCTCAGATTGTAAGCGGACCAGAGACTAAACGGCGAACATTCTTTTGCCTTGAGGAGCCGCAGGCGCAGACACTCCGCACATTTCCCTCAGGTGTTAAGGGCTCCGCTCCCTTCCCCACCTCGGCGGCACATCGGGCAGGCCCATGAGGAGGCGGCTGGCCCCCTTCTCCCCAGGCTCGCTGGGAGGGCCGCGATGCACCCTCGGGGCTGACCGGTAACAGCCACGCCATCAACCACCACACACCCACAACCCCAGACTGCGCGAGAACCTGCACACCCTAAACCACTTCCGGTCTTACCCCTCCCCCGTCCCTCCGCATGCGTCTCCTCGACGGCAGGCCGGACGGGGGGAACGCGAGCAGGGCGCATGTGCAGGGGAGCCACCGTTCTGCCTGCCGTCCTGCCGCTGAGTTGCCCTGTCCTGTCTCCCGCTCCCGCTTCTGTTCCCGTTCCGCTCCCGCTCATCTCCTAGTGCACGCTAACTCCGCCACCCTGCGGCCTCCAGCAAGGCGTTTAGCGCTCGACGCGACCGCTTCGCGTCACGTGGCCGGGGTCGTGCCTGCGCCCCGGCTGAGGCGAGCTGCACACATAGTGCCTGATGGGGCTGGTGTATATACCCTTACAACGGACCGTCCGCTCCGGCGGCGGAATTTTTCTCCGATTATCCTCTCTACATCGGGGGCAGAAGGGTAGGTGTGGCGGTGTCTGCCCCGCCCCCAGAGTAGCTCGTCCTTTTCCGCGCAGGCAGTTGGTTAAACAGCTGAGGGGGGCCTACGTGCTGTGGGGTCCTGGCGTGACCTCGGCGACGGGCGGGAGCCGGCGGCGAGTGTATGTGCTGCGAACGGCGCCGGCCCGGGCGGCGGCGGCGGCTCGGGCGCCATGGTGAGCCCGCGGGGCCGGGAACGGGGTGAGCCCGTCGCGGGTGCTCCTGTCTGCTTGGACTCCATGATGTGGCTCTGGGGATCGGGGGGTGGACGGGTGGTACCGGGGAGCTCCGTTATTAGCGCTCATCTGCTCTGGTGTTCACTACACCTGGTTCATTCTCGGGTTAGTGGCATGTGCGGTGATAACACATGGGTTACTTGGCTTGGGAAGAACCCTGCCTCGGGTTACGTGTCTCGACAGGTGTTTTAGCACTGACAGGGCTCAGTTTCTTAGGTGTAACACAGAGTAAATGGACCCGTAGTAGCAGAAGAGTGAAATTTGGCCAGGGTTATTCCTGCTAACGATACAGAATCATACCATCATTGGATGGCTTGGGTTGGAAGGTACCCCAAAGCTCATACATTTCCAGTGGCCTCCCTCGTGCAGGGACACCTTCCACTAGACCAGGTTGCTCCAAGCCCCGTCCAGCCTGGCCTTGGGCACTGCCAAGGATGGGGCAGCCACAGCTTCTCTGGGCAACCTGTGCCTGGGACTCAGCACCCTCACAGGGAAGAACTTCTGCCTAAGAGCTCATCTCAGTCTCCCCTCTGTCAGGTTAAAGCCATTCCCCTTTGTCCTGTCCCTACAGGCCCTTGTCCAAAGCCCCTCTCCAAGTTTCTTGTAGCCCCTTTAGGCACTGGGAGCTGCTCTAAGGTCTCCCTGGACCCTTCTCTTCTCCAGGCTGAACAAACAGACTTCTTTCCCTATAAAGATAGCTGAATTTTATATTTACGTCTTCATTGCCATTTAAAACTCCGAAGTTGCTTGGCTCTCTTAACATACTTTACAGATACAAGGTATATGGAGATCCATAGGGATACTTGAGTGCAGATATAAAAACTTATTTTGTATGTGGTGTTAATACATATATTTATTTTCCATGTGGATGTGAATGGCAGTGTGCTGTTTAAACTATGGCGACATAATGTTTGTTCGAATGATGGAAGTCTTGCTTAGGGAGTAAACTTCAGAGTTATACTTTGGGTAAAGTCTGACTTTAAGCTCTTCTGATTCTAGTAAGGTTATTTTAATAGTGTATGTTTTGACATCTGAAAAGAGCTGCAGAGTTACTTTTCTCATGATGGCTTTTCCTCTGTTCTTTTATTTTTTTTTTTTTATCTTTTTTCTGTAGGGATTAGAGTATTTAATCAAAGTCTTGAGAGATTCCTGTCATTTGTAGGAGTGTATGAGTACTGTCACCTAGCTATGTGGAGCTACTCTGGGATATCTGGAAGCGAATACAGCTATTTCTCTTAGTGTAGTTCCTCATTTAAATAAACTGAGTGCTTCCTTCTGTTGCCTGATTGAATTGGAAAATCAGGTCTATTTTTTTCGCTAGCTGCTGGCAGCATGGACAAATAATCTTTTTGTGTGATTCTATGACATAAGCAAAGTGAAAAGATGATAGTCTGCTACTTTTATGCTGCTTGGAATCTGTATTCTCCAGTTCCAAAGCAAAAGGAGTATGAAATATTCAACAGGTTCTTTTGCACTGAGAGGGCTGTAAATCGAGTCACCAGAATAATTCAGTGGTAGCACTCTGCCAAGTTGGAACCAACAGGACTCAGAGTCTGTGTAGCTCTGAACTAATTTTACTTGTAATTTAATAATATGTTGAATGTGTACTGGTGTTTTGCACAGCAAACATTCTGTATTGGCTTCTTCAGTAATAATGCTAATTCTGTGATCTTATAAATGCTCTTGATCCAGTCATAGAGTTTCTAAAGCAATAATTTGATTTTCCTAATGATCACTAGTTCTATAGTCTTTGTGCTAAGAACCTTGGTGAAAAAAGAAGCAAGACTGTCAGGTAAACTGCAGTTGGCTGGCTGGAATGTAGTTTTGGTTTAAACAACACACCTTGTTTCAGAGGGTGTCATGTTGCTGGTGACTGCTTCCATCTAGCAGTTTATGGCTCTCCTTTGAGCATGTGGAGAGGTGCTGGTCAAGAGAGAATGGAGGGAAGACCCGCGGAGGTGAGCAGTTTGGTGGTAGTCCCAAATTCCTTGATGTTCTTTGAGCTGCTTTATATGTCTTCTGTTCATCTCTGCTGTGTTGTAAACAGTGGTAGGTGCAGGAAAAAAAATCAGGCAAGACTTGATCATAAAAAAAGAAAAATCTGAATTTTGAAGGTGTCTCTTGGCATTGATTTCTTTCCCAACCTAATCTTTAAGAATGTTTGATTTTTACAGATTATAAGATTTGAACTGCCTCTGATTGCTAACTACACAAGGTATAATTCTGACTATAGCTATTTTGTGAAAGTCGTCTTCATTTTTTGCTTTTGCAAATACAGCTTAATGGACATACACATACGGAAAAAATTTTGCATATGGAATAGACTCATTTAATAGCATGAGCAGTAATATGTCATTTATTAAATGCATTTCAAACAGGTTGTATCAGTGTAGCTTCTAGGTTTCACAAATGCCATTGCACTTTTGGAACTGCAGAAGATAAAAGTATTTGTTACAGTCTCCTGGAGACCTTACAGGTCGGTACTTATTTAAAAGCTTTTCCATTTCTTCTTGAAAATTCACAACTTTGTTAGTATATTTGCATGCTACCACTGGAAGAGATTGATATGCCGTGAATTAACATCTGTAGAGTACTTCAGCGCACTTGTGTAAAAATCTTGTTTTTACAAGACTTGCCACTTCAGAAAGTAAGTAGCTGGCATTGTGCTGCTGAAGGTGAAGTTGTAAATTGGATTCTACCAGCTGCTTTTTCAGGCATGCAGTTATATTGCTGCTGCAGTCCTGGTGCATACAGCAGTTGTCTTCAGCTCAAGGCCTTTGTCTTGCAATGGAGGAGGTGGTTAATGTTAGAGAATGAGTAATTTAAAAGTCCTGTGTTAAGCTGGGTGCTTGAGTTATTTCTAGTATCTAGGTATGAGATAAGGGAAAAAGGGAAAAACCTGCCTTGCTACTACAGATGTGGGAGACTAACCTTGGGCAAGGTCAAAATGAGGAGACTGGAGTGGTATCTTGGCATAAAGCTGTTAACCTTGGCTGTCTTTGCTTTGCATGTTCTGTAAATCAATTAATGATAAAATGAAAAATGTACTTTAGGGAGAAGTACTTTTAAAATCTGTTACTTTCTTTGATTACTATTCTGAGATAGCTGCTGGTGTATTATAACTACACTTGACTTGTAGGTAAGAGTATTGCAACTTTATCGCAACTGCTTACTCTTACTTTTTGTTCTAATTATCAGCAACTGTAACTCCAGTTATGTGGTAAAAGGTATAGACGGTGAAAACCAGAGTCTAGGTATAAGCTTACTGAACCTTATACTGTTGCCTGTTGGGCCTGTCATCTTTTTTTCCATGATTTTAAGAAATCTGTCAATCTTGCCTTTAATGTAGCTGTTACCGCCTCTCTTCTAGACCACTTAGTCATTCTCTGCTACGTTTTATTAAAAGCTTTCTTGCAAAACATGTGCTTTATTGCACAAGCAAAAGTTAGAGTCCATATTGAAAGACCTGGAACTGAGCACAGTGCTCAAGGCTTGACCAACCTCAACCAAAGACCTTTCTCTGACACAGAGGCGCAGCCATACTGCAGTTTATTGGGCATCCCTTAGTGGTTGTACTATTTCAGTCTCATCTTTGACAGTGAGGTTGCTTGCCAGCCTCTGTTTTGCAGCGAAACTGTCTCATGTAGTTGTGTTTTCTTTGGGCCATGTACTTCTTGGCATTATACAGATTGACAGAAAGGTCTCTGAGTAGTGAGATATTGACTTCTCTCCCCAGTGCCTTGAATTTGGGTTTCAAATTCCAAGCTGCGAAGCTGGAGACATGGATGTATGTAGAATCAGAGTGCCAAAGATGTTGTAGAACAGATCCAAATAATGTTGTTTATGCAAACTGTTCTGCAATTGCAGGCACTATTTAATCTGTGCAGCAATTCCTCACCTCTAAGAGGTGAACAATGCTTCTGTTACTTTTGAGTCAACTCTGTCAATGAGTGTGTGGTCAATTACTTCAGCATAGATCTCACTGGGTGATGGGTTGCTCACCAGAGGCCCTCAAAACCCCCATGTGATTGTGGACTTTTCCTGTATCCATCTTCTTCCTCAAGCACATCTCATGCTCTGTTTAGCAGGGCTAGATTTTTTAAGTTGTGGATTTCTGGCTAAATTGTAAAGTCTGTGTCTTCTAAATTAGAGTAATTCAAGTAGAGGCTGTAAGACATTGGTGGGAACCAATACCTAAAGCTTCATTCATGGTTTTGGGTTTAAACCATTAGTGGCAGGGGGAAGACTTTAAAGTATGTGGGAGACTTGATCAAGACAGAGCCTCAGTTGGAATGAACCCTATGGCTTTGTGTGTGTGGAAGAACAAAGATGTGTCCTGGTGTTGTAATAGAGATCGTTCGGGATGTGGTAGATTTTTCCAGAGTTTATTAGTAAACACATAAGCAGTGTATAACCACGCAATAGAGAAAGAATAGAGTTGGCAAAATGTGCTTTGCACAAAGTGTGTTATTTTGAGTGGGCATAGCACTTACCGTATTCCCCTGCTATGTGTTCTTGGCTGATTGCAAGAAGAGTAATGCAGTAGAATTTTTTAATTTCAAGTGACATATTTATGCAGTTAACGTATTGCTCATGGTTGATTGCTAACCTTCAGGAGTCAAGAGAAAAATGTCATCATCAAGGAGTGAGTACATCCATTTTTTAATTGCTTAGAGTGTAGAGAAATACCAGAAGGATATTTCCACCACAAAAGTCAGTTTTAAAATTAAGATTAAAGATAATGTTTTTTGAATCATTATTTTTAAATGGCTTCAGAATTGCTAGGTTGTTTCCAGTGGTAAACTGAAATATTTTTGCAAGTATTTCTATTTTTAAGGAAACCATCAGTAACCTTTATAGGGGTGAATATAGTGAATTCCAAATAAAAGAGGGTAGGGAGGGTGCAGATCATGAGATGCTCAAATTTGACATCCTCAGGACAGTGAGAAGAGCAAGCAGCAAGCTCACTGCCCTGGACTTCAAGAGAGCAGACTTTGGCCTCTTCAGGAACCTGCTTAGGAAGGTTCCATGGGATATAGCCCTAGAGGGCAGGGGGCCAAAGACTCTTGGTTGCTATTCAAGGATCACCTGCTACAAGCTCAGGAGTGTTGTATCCCAACTAGAAAGAAGTGCAGCAGGAGGGCCAGGAGACCTCCTTGGATGGATAAGGAGCTGCTGAGGAAAATTCAAATGAAAAAAGAGGCTTATAATAAGTGGAAGCAAGGACAGGTGGCATGGGAAGAGGGATGTTGTCTGGAAAGCTATGGACCAGGTTAGGAAAGCTAAGGCCCAGTTAGAATTAAACTTGGCTAGGGATATTAAGGATAACAGGAAGGTATTCTACAGGTACATAGCAAATAAAAAAACAGACTAGGGGGAATGTAGGCCGCCTCAGGAGGCTCTCGGGAGAACTAGCTACACAGGATTTGGAGAAGGCTGAGGTTCTGAATGACTTCTTTGCCTCAGTCTTCACTGGCAAATGCTCTGACCGCACCGCCCAAGTCTTGGAAGGCAGATGCAGGGACTGTGAGAATGAAGACCTTGGGCCCACTGGAGGAGAGGAGCTGGTTCGAGACCATCTTAAAAATCTGAATGTGCACAAGTCCATGGGACCTGATGAAATCCATCTGTGGGTCCAGAAGGAGCTGGTAAATGAAGTTGCTTAGCCACTGTCCATCATATTTGAAAAATCATAGCAGTCAGGTGAAATTTCTGACAACTGAAAAAGGGAAGTATAACCCCCATTTTCAAGAAGGGGAAAATGGATGACCCAAGGAACTATAGGCCAGTCAGTGTTACCTCTGTGCCTGGCAAAATCTTGGAGCAGATTCTCCTGGAAGGCATGCTAAGGCACATGAAAAACAACAAGGTGCTTGGTGACAGCCAGCATGGCTTCACTAGGGGGAAATCCTGCCTGACCAATTTGGTGGCCTTCTATGATGTGGCTACAGAATGGATAGATAGGGGTAGAGCAGTTGATGTCATCTACTTGTGCAGTGCGTTCAACACTGTCCCGCATGACATCCTTGTCTCTAAATTGGAGAGACATCAATTTGATAGGTGGACCACTCAGTGGATAAAGAACTGGCTGGATGGCTGCACACAAAGAGTTGTGGTCAATGGCTCAATGTCCAGTTGGAAAAAAGTAACGAGTGGTGTCCCTCAGGGATCGGTGTTGGGACCGGTCTTGTTCAACATCTTTGTCGGTGACATGGACAGAGGGATTGAGTGCGCCCTCAGCAAGTTTGCCAATGACACCAAGCTGTGTGGTTCAGTTGATACAGTGGAGGGAAGGAATGCCATCCAGAGGGACCTTGACACGCTTGTGAGGTGGGCTGATGCCAGCCTGATGAAGTTTAACTGTGCCAAGTGCAAGGTCCTACACCTGGGTTGGAGCAATCCCAGGCACAGCTGCAGGTTGGGCAGAGAAGAGATTAAGAGCAGCCCTGCAGAGGGGGACTTGGGGGTGCTGGTCAATGAGAAAATGAACATGATCTGGCAATGTGAGCTCGCAGCCCAGGAAGCCAACCGTATCCTGGGCTGCATCAAAAGGAGCATGACCAGCAGGTCGAAGGAGGTGATCCTGCCCTTCTACTCTGCTCTCAAGTGACCTCACTTGGAGCATTGTGTGCAGTTCTGGTGTCCTCAACATAAAAATGACATGGAACTGTTGGAACAAGTCCAAAGGAGAGCCATGATGTTGATCAGGGGACTGGAGCACCTCCTCTATGAAGACAGGCTGAGAAAGTTGGGTCTGTTCAGCCTGGAGAAGAGAAGGCTGCGTGGAGACCTCACAGCAGCCTTCCAGTACCTGAAGTTGGGCTATAAGGATACTGGGGAGGGAATCTTCATTTAGGGACTGTAGTGATAGGACAAGCGGTAACAGGTTAAAACTTGAATAGGGGAAGTTTAGATTGGATATAAGGAAGGAATTCTTTAAGGGTGGTGATGCACTGGAATGGGTTGTTCAGGGAAGCTGTGAATGCTCCACTGCTGGCGGTGTTCAAGGCCAGGTTGGACAGAGAGCCTTGGGTGAGATGGTTTAGTGTGAGGTGTCCCTGTCCATGGCAGGGGGATTGGAACTAGATGATCTTAAGGTCCTTTCCAACCCTAACTATTTTATGATTCTGTGATTCAGTGGCTTAAGATGAAATGATCCTGATGGGTTCACTTACAGCTTAAGGCTTCACTTGAGTAAAGGAATGGCTTTCTGTAGGTGCATTTTTAAGTATTCTTTTGAATTGTAAGTATTTTAGCTCACTGGTGGACCTGCTGCCCTGTATAAAACCTAGCTGCCTTAATTTGCATCACTTTCCTTCCTGTTACCTTGAGTTGGAAAGGCATTTTCTTTCTCTTACAAATAGGAAATCCTAGGAGTAATTGAAGAGACATACTAGCACCTGGTTAGTTAGTCTTCCTAATAAAAATGTTATTTTAGAGAAATACTAATGTAAATTTATGCTGACAGAGTGAATTCTGACGATCATGGCTTAGTCGGCAGGCCAGTGAGACAGTGGTTTTGGGTGGCTGTGGTTAGGCTTATCATGAGGTGGTCAGCATAAACAGTTGATTTTAAAATGCATGATTCATTTTGCAAACCATATAAACTTCCTGAGCAGTTCAGCCATTTAAATATATTATGCAGGTAACTTGTTTTAATAACACTTCCTTTGATTTTAAGTTCACTTCCCCTTAGATAGGAGATTGGTTTGAGTAATTTTATGCACAGGACTCCAGGATGGAAAGAATCCCTAATGAAGGTAGAGTGTTTAAAATAATACAGAGAGCTTTCAATCCTGATCTTGATCCCTGGTCTTGGTGACACGGAGCATCAGCAAAAGTGAAGTCTTACTTTTAAGGTATGTCAAAAAACTGATGGGACCAATGTAGAAGAGCAGTAGAAATTTCAAGGAGGGAGGATGCGGAGAGGCTTGAATACTGAAGAAACTTAATGATATGTCAAAAAAAAAAAAAGCCAACTCCAAAGGTGTTATTTCAAATTATACTAAATCTATATTATATTAAAAAGTATTTCTAACTGATACTTGACATTTTGTTATGAGATGCATGATAACATATGCTCATGGATACTGAAAGGTAATTTATGTTGTTCTAATCTCCCTCAGTCATGTTATATTAAGGAGGGTGCTCGACATTACCTGTAAGATTTCATCTGCTATAATTTTATAAGAGCAGTATTGATAAAATTTCTGATTTATTTAAATGAAAGAAAGCATTGAAGGGAGAAAAGATAAGAACTTTTCCTAAGTGCAGCATATAAGACCAAAGATGATATTGCTGCTAAGGAGGAGGGCTGACAGAGAGTGGTGGATCCGCAGGTTAATACCTGGTTGCATAGCAGGTGTTGACAATAGGGAATTGCGTTGTATGACTATAAGACCCTCTCTGAGATGCAAGGACTGCTAGGAAGGGACGCCTTCCACTTGATTAAATAGGGCAAAAGCTGCGTCTGTCCTGGCCTTGAACACTGCCAGGGATGAGGCAGCCACAGCTTCTCTGAGTAATCTGTGCAAGGGCCTCACCACCCTCACAGGGAAGAACTACTTCCTAATGTCTAATCTATACCTATCATGAGGCCAACATTGTGAGGGAGAAGCTCTTATACTACTGTGGAGGCAGTATTCTCACAGGAGAATGGATAATTGGTACATAAACTCTGAATAATCCTGAAAGATACAGCAAGGCCATGAGAGGCCCGAGGAAGCTTAAGCAAGCAAGATAAGAAGAAGCTGGAATTCACTGAGTTAATGAGAACTGTGGACTGTTGGCAAGCTTTCGAGGTCAAGTTCCCACACCTGTGCTTAACCAATTATATGTTAGTCACTAAGGGTCTTCAAGACATGTATCCAATCATAATATGCCAAATCACTGTAAGTGCATGTAAGAAATAATATATAAGGAGTTAAGGCTTTGAAATAAATGGCAGTCGCTTGATCATATTGATCATCTCTGCGTTGTCTGTGACTCCCACGTCAACATACTACTTCTGGGGAACTGGCACGTGTGGGTGCATCTCTGACCTGCCTGCATGTGGCATGGGGAAAAAATGGGCTGTGTGAAATTGCAGAGCTATGATTTAATTGAGATAACAAAAACTTGGTGGGATAGCTCATGCAAGTGGAGTGTTGCTATGGATGAATGAGGGCCCTTTAGAACAACTGGCTGGGACAGTGAGGTTGGACTTGCTCTTAAGTGAGAGAGCGATGGGGTTGCATGGAAGTCTGCCATGGGATGAATAATGAACCATCTGAGAGCTTATGGGTAAAGACTAGAGGACAGAGCAATGTGGGTGATGTTGTAGGTGTCTGCTGTAGACAGCCTTTATCACAAATAAGGAAAAGATAAGGCCTTTCTCAGACAGTGGGAGGAATACTCAGGTTTCCAGGTACTAGTCCTGTAGGTTATTTTAACTATCCCTGTATCTTCTGAAGAGAGAACACAGCAGGTCACAAGCAATCCAGATCTTTTGTGTGCTTTGATGGCAGTTTCCTAACACAGGTGATTGAAGAGCTCATGGGGAGAGGTGGTCCACTGTGTGTGATTCTTGGTGTGTTTTCAATTGCATGTTTTTCTACATTTCCTTCTACCTCTCTGATATTTTTCCTTTTTACTATTGCTTGTGATGTTTTCAGCTCAAGTGCCAGATCCTGACTGTGAGCTGGGATGCTAAAATGAAGCTGTGCTGATTGTGATTGGTCTGTGCCCTCCCTTCGCTTCCATACCTGTGCCTGGAGTTCAGTGAGGAGCAAATGCTCTGCATTAATCAAAGGCTGAAATTTCTTTACATAGATGTTACAAAAAATGTTATTCCTACCATGCAAGGTGTTTATAGTTATTCTTTTTCTAAGATACTTCAGCACTTCTCTAAAAGAAATACTGACTTGTTATTAACTTATTCCTCTACAGGGTGTGATAGGTGTACAATTGGTGCTTACCATGGTAATGGCTAGTGTCATACAGAAGATCATACCTCATTATTCTCTTGCTCGTTGGCTTCTCTGTAGTGGCAGGTAAGATAAGAAACAGTTGCTATATGGTGTGTGAATATGGTAATGCAGTTATGCATTCAAGTAGTAACAGTAAAACATACCGATTTAGGTGGGTTTCTTGAAAAATAATCTGATATTCTTTTTTCTTGTAAAAAAAGAAATAAAAAAATTAATCTTTAATTTACTACCATACCATTATGACACCTGACTTGCAGGCTCAAGGTATAAAGACACTGTTGATGTAAAAGAGCAAACTTGTTTGCTGCTATTAATTGTTTTAGTCATTAAGTTAATTGTTGCCCAACTCTTCTGTTACTAAAGGTACAAGCTACATATGTTAATATTAAAAAGCTGAGCTGAGTACAAGACACTGAAGAATAGAAGGATTTTTTTCACTGCATTGCCTCGGTGTTCTTGATAGTCCTGCTGATTAGCCATGCATATAAAGAGTGCTTAGGTATTGATTAGAAACTAGCCAGCTACTACACTAATCTGGACTGTTTTACATACAGAGGGTAGATTGAGATTAGATTTTAGGACAAAGTTTTTCCCTGTGAGGGTGGTGAGGCCATGGCACAGGTTGCCCAGAGAAGCTGTGGCTACCCCAGCCATGGACCGGGCATTCTGGATCCCATCCCTGGACAGGGCTTGGAGCAACCTGATTTAGTGGAAAGTGTCCCTGCCCATGGCAGGGGATTGCAACTGGGTGAGGTTTAAGGTCCCTTCCAACCCAAACCGTTCTATGATTCTATGATTTATTAAAAATTCTATTCTTTTACAATTTCATGGGATTAGTATAAAATTCCGTACATTACTTCCTCATAACAATAGATCAAACAGACATAATGAGTTACACGGGAAGCATTCCCTGTTTGTCTATATGCATAATAACAAAAACCAGCAGCTGTTTTGAAGATATATATCAATATCTTCGATATTAAAAGAATTGGAGATGCTGCTTTTTTTGTTCTGGAAGAAAAAAAACCCTTTGATTAAAAGGTAGTGTGCTGTCTTTTGTAATTGTTAAAATTCTGTGAATATCAAATCTCTATTCCTGGATTTCTGAGGAAGTATCCTTGAATAATAATTTTCTTCATAGGAGTCTTAACCAGTCTTTTATAATTTTCCATTTACTTTTTTTGTCTCCATCTTGGCATTACCAACTTTTTTTTTCTTTTTTGTTTTCCCCACTTCATCACCCAAAGAGTTGCTAATGAAAAATGACATAGATGTTGTTTAGATGCATGTTAAGTACCTCTGGTTAGATATAATGCAAAACATTAATTGTCAAGTGAATAATATAAACAGGAATAAAACTTTAACTGTTGTGTGAAGTTTTATTGTTGACCATATCTGCAGGGTATTGATCACCTTTTTCGTACCCTCAAGAGAATATTACATTAATGAATATGAGACAGCATGCCACTTATTTTTGAGATGTGTTACTACTATAGTGGTTTTATCAGCAATTCTTCAAATGCAATTTTCTACTTTTTATGTCTTACTTTAAAGATTTATTTAAACTTTTATCTCAAAATTTAAGTATTCAATTGTTCTCTTAAAAGAATTGCTCAATATTATGCCCGTGTTCTTTGTTCTTGTGAAGTTTTCGCTTTCCTTGTGTCCTGGGTTCAGCAGTAGCAGTTATTTTTCTCCTTCTTAGTAGCTGGTGCAGTGCTGTGTTTTTGACTTTCAGCCTGGGAACAACACTGGTAACACCAGTGTTTTTAGTTGTTGCTATGTAATGCTTACTCCGATCAAGGACTTTCTGAGTCTCTGCCACGAAGGAGGGTAAACCGGGAGGGAAACTCGGAGGGAGCAGAGGCAGGACACCTGAGCCAAAGTACCAAAGGAGTATTCCATACCACAGGACATCATGCCCAGTGTATAAACTGGGGAGAGTTACTGAGCAGGCCCAGATTGCAGTTTGGATCGGGCTGGGTATTTGTCAGTTGGTGATGAGCAATTGTATTCTCTTCCCTTGTAATTTCCCGTATTATTATTGGTGGTAGAAGTAGTGGTTTGTGTTATACTTTAGTTACTGGACTGTTCTTATCTCAACCCGTGGGAGTTACATTCTTCTGATTCTCTTCCCTATCCCTCTTGGAGCAGGGAGAGGAAGAAGGGAGGACGTGAGTGAGCGGCTGCATGATTCTGAGTTACCAGCTGGGCCTAAACCATGACACCTTGTTCTAAGGCTTGCTGTGCTCCTAAGATAGGGAGAGGTTTGCTTTTTAAATCATGGAATCCTAAAATGATTTGAGTGGAAAAGGACCTTAAGATCATCCAGTTCCAACCCCCCCTGCCATGGGCAGGGACACCTAGACCATGTCCCAAGGCAGTGTCCAACCTGGCCTTGAACACTGGCCAGGGATGGAGCATTTGCCACTTCCACTCTTCTGTTTCTTCTAAAAAAATACTTTTCATCATCATTTTCTTCTTTTATCTTTGCGCACCTGCAGATTGATAAATACATAAAACAGGATTTCTGCGCTTGTTCTTACGGATTTTTGCTCCTACTGAAGTCAATAGGAGTCTTATGATTGACATTCGTGTTAGTAGCCTTGAAAATGTCATTGTGTTCTTCAGTATTCTGTTTGTCTGGTAACTGTTTTAGTGCATTGTAATTTCAGTCATTGTGAATAATCTCCTGAATGCAAGAATTCTGTAAAAAGCCAGAAATAATTCTGCTTTCCAGGAATAAAAACAAGTAAGAAGCTTCACTGCAACAGGAGTCTGAATTGTAATGGCAGAAAGAAAAGCAGTTCTTTTCTCAGTTTAGCTGACAAACTTTTATGTCTAACCCATTTTCCTTAATGCTGTCTTTTTTTGCCAGTGGTATTTTCTTTGACAGACTTGTGTGGGTAGGGTGCTAGGTGTTTTGTGCACACGTAACTGTGCAGGTATAAGCAGAAACACTCTTAAGCAGTCCAGCTTTTCCAGGAAAAGTTACCACCTGCTCCTCCTTTCCTTTGTTAGTATACTTTCAAGTAATTCTTTGGTTCCCCAAACTGGTTTTTAAGTTACTTCATTTAAGCATTTTTTTTCCAAAGGCTTGGGAGGCTTTTGTAAGCATTATAGTCTGAAATGTCTATAGATAGCCACTGCTGAATGGGAGCAAGGATAAAAATGTTACCAAACAAGCCAGAAGCTCTTCTAGTTATCAGTTGTTTCCAAGATGCCTGTATATGTACATTCAAAGCCTGTTAAAATGAAACATAGACATTTCAAAATTTAAAAGAATTGTTAGACTAGATGGACATAAGATTATTCATTTACAGAATGAAAACCTATAATTTACTGTTGAAAAACAGCTTACTTAAATTTGTAAAGAAATACAAACCTTTTCCATCAATGCCATTTCAGAGCTTGAGTGGAATTTGAATATTCATGTTTGTTGAAGTAAATGAATTGGCAGCCTAAGTATCTGCTTTTTTAACTTTGCATTTTTAACTAATTATCTTTGCAATTTTAGCTAATTTAACCTTTGTATTTTTAACTAATAAAGCCTTCTGTACCAAAATGCTGCTTTTAAGTTGCTCAGCTACTTCAGTTGTTCTGTTTTCAGGCCACTTCAGGAAGACAGGCGAAAATGGATGTTTTCTTTTGCAGTCATTAATGACCTTCATTCAAACTAACTGGGGCATATCTGTGCTGCTGTTGCTATTCAGACTAACCTGGATATGTCACAGTGAGAGAGTAATCAGTTGTGGGATCTAAGTTTTAAACGTATATAAGCTGAAGCAGATATGAACTATTTTTCTTTTTTAGGTCTATGTTTTTGGAAATATTTGTTCAGATCTCTTGGGTTTGAGATTTTAGATGAAAGGTGTGTAGAGTTTATTAGCTAAAGATTTCCAAACCTGTTGTATCCTCTTAGTTGTAATTAGTGATCACTTGCAACATAATTCTGTCATGTAATTAAGAGCAAATTGTTGTTTAAGTGTTTATAATGTATTAGTATCAGAGAATCCCAGACTGGTTTGTGTTGGAAGGGACCTTAAAGCTCATCCAGTTCCAGCCGCCTGCCACAGGCAGGGACAACTTCCACTAGACCACTTTGGTCCGAGCCACTAGACCATGTTGTCCGAGCCCCGTCCAGCCTGGCCTCGAACACTGCCAAGGATGGGGCAGTCACCCTGTGCCAGCGCCCCACCACCCTCACAGGGAAGAACTTCTGCCTAAGAGCTCATCTCTATCTCCCCTCTTGTCAGGTTAAAAATGTGGCTGGTTAAAAATGGAGTTGACTGTATTGGAGACAAAAAACTCTGAAAAATATGCTTATTGTGTGGCACTGCCAGGTACTATTCTTTCTCTCTTTTTGCAAGTCATTTGATGGTTCAATTGAGAAGTCACAGAATCAGAGGATGGTTTTGGTTGGAAGGGATGTTAAAGCTTGTCCAGTTCCAACCCCCTGCCACATGCAGGGACACCTTCCATGAGACCAGGTTGCTCCAAGATCTGTCCTACTTGGCCTTGTATGTTACACAGAACAAGATTTTTGTTGATTCTGCTGCATTAGGTACTATTTCTTTATCTGCATAGGAAAAAAATTGAAAAATTAGTTTTCCAACACAGATGATCTTCATCACTGCAGAACTACTTTTGGTATTTTCCGTTGCCATGTTCAGATCTCGGAGATGTTGAATGACAGAGCAGAAGACTTTTTCTGTTTCTCCCCACTTTCTCTGTGTTGTTTGAAAGCTAGGAAGAAGTTAATATCTGTAATGTAGTTTGTCTTCTTGGAGGAGGTTTTTAGGAAAGGAGTGTTAATGTTAAGATCTGCTCTGCCTGAGAGAACAGATAGCTACTCTGGACTCTGGAGAATTACTGTTGTTTTGAAAAGCATGATTATGCTGCGTAAGATAATTTAGAATGTGGCTCTCATGGGTAATTGTAATGGTACAATTATCCCAGTGAACTTTTTTCAATATCAGTACAATCTTTTTTGCTGTATTTGATGATAATGGTAAAATTTGGTGGTTTGGGAAGTGAAGGGTTTTCACTTAAATGACAAAGTGGCAGAGCTTTCTTACTATGAATAAGCGTCTTACATGCTGAAGAGAACTGAAGTTTAGCTGTAGTTGTTTAGTTCAGGCAGAGTTGGTACTTGCACATAAGGGTGTTTTGCGTAGTTACTGCAAATGACCAGTGGCTTAATAGGCATACAGATTGTGTGTTTATATATATATATATTTCTATATTTTTATATATATATTTTAAACCATTAAAACCATTATATTGCAAATACTGCTATGGTTATACTTAAGATTTTATTTTTCTTTAGTTTAAGGTGGTATCAGCATCCCACTGAAGAAGAGCTACGAATTCTTGCAGGGAAACAAAAAGGCAAGAGCAAAAAGGATAGGTAAATATTTGTTCTAAGCTTTTTCTTTTCCTTTTTTTTTTTTTTTCCTTGTTATGATCCATATATTAACTTTGCTAGCCAACTTTTGTCTTTTTGTGAGTTTAAATCTGTTACTTGCCTATAGCTGCCTCACTTGCCACAGCTCTGTACCAACCTGTGTTGGTTTAACAAAGTGTCAGTTTAACAGAGAGTTGAAGATGCCCAAATTGTGCAGAACTGGATGACATCCAGTCCACAAGATTGGTCTGTGAAACTGCTAATTTGGTGGCAGTGAATTTTTTTAGTGAATATATTCATTTGCATGAAAACTGAGGAAAGCAAATCTTCTGTAGGACTGAAGCTCTTCATCTTGAAGCAAGAGAAGAAAGATTTGAGTATATTAGTTAAACAGGATTACTGTGAACCATCACTCTTACACAGCTGTGAAAAAGGTAAATGTGCTGTTAGGATGTATTAGGTAAGGTATTTCTTGTAGAAGAGATATGGAAATACTAATCCTCTTGGGCGAGGCACTGGTGTAGAACTTTAGCTGGATTACCATGTACAGTTCTCATCACTAATGCTCAAGAAAAATGAGGTTGTACCTGAACAGGTGCACAGAGGGCCGCTAGGATCATCCAGGAAGCAGAAAATGTCTTACAAGAGGAAGCTAAAATAGCTTGGCTTGTTTAACCTAACAAAAGACGACTGAGGGGGTGGGATAGCTGTCGGTCAGCTTAAGATGGAAGGAGATTTCTGATGTTCAGGCACAAAGTTCTGGAACAGCCTTATCAGAAGCACCGCTGTGGCAATCTTGGGATGGTGGATCTGGCTATGTGATGCAAGGTTTCTGAATTGACTGTATTTAAAATAAACAAACCAACGAACCTGGCTTTCATTTTACATGTTTGTTGCAATATTCTTTCAAATTCAGAAACTCATCTAACAGTTTTCTGCAGCAAGTTGAGGTGAAATAATTGTGAGTAGCATTACAATTTATAGCTGTCAATTTAAGCAGTGATATTCATTCATATGTAAAATAACTTTAATTATAAAACTATAACTTAAAGTCCACCCATAGAAGCCTTCAACAGAAAAACACAAGCACATTCCAAATAATAATTGTACGTTGCTCTTACTGCCTTTCCTCAGCCTAGCCAGTCTTTTGCCATCCAAAAGATGTGTGTTCTCACTTTCACCAGAGCAATTGCATGCTCTCAGCTGAGTGCAAGTATGGCATGTTAATGTGTACTGACATACAAGTTTAAATTTTGTAAGCTTTGAGAAATTTACTGTGAAATTTAGTAGGAACCTGTATCACAAGTCACCTATATATGCATTAAGTACTTTTTCGGTTACTAAACTTACACATTTAATGTTTTAAATGCAGTGCTGTTTTCATGTTTGCCAAGGCAAATTTTGTGGTGTGATTTCATTATTATAAGATAGATATAATCATCTTACTGTATTAATATGTAACCGAGAGAGCACAGTTGTAATAGTTGGAAATAATTGTTTGTACTAGGATAAATTTTAATTGCAGGGGAGTAGAAAACTTCAAAGAAACCAAGACAGTAATGTGGAGGCTTAAGTGATGCTTTCTTTGCTGTGCTGTTTTAAGGACAGAGTGAATGAAGCACTTACTTTTTAGTCAGTAAGTATACCTCTGTGTCCTCTAAAGAAGTGGCTGTTGTTGGAGAGCCATGGTTTAAAGCAAGAATTGCTCCTATTGAGTTGGTTTGGATACACTGTTGGATATATCCAGTATCCAACTGGATATTGAATTGGTCTGGATGTACTATTTTAGGTTGCACAAAATGGAATGCAGCACTCCTTTGAGCCAAGGAGGTGTGAAACAGATAGTGTAGGAGAAACAAGGAGGCATCTCTTTGTTTTTTGTTTTTTTTCCCCATGTCTTTTCAAGAAAAAATGCAAAATGTAGTACATTCTCCTGTGTCTTACTTAAATACTTTTCCAATATGAACTAATTAAAAGAGAAATTAGGAAAGCAGATCCAAGGAACTTGCTTGAGAATTAGCCTTATAAACAGCTGTAATATGAACTTGTAGTCCAGTTTATTCAATGCGTATTACACTTCAGTATATTGTCCTGTGCATTGTAAGAGCATGTGAATATTAGGCAGTTTTTCTATTTCTAAATTATGTTGTATTAAATTGTTAGACCAATATAAAGGTCCATAGCTACTATGAATTGCTTTGAATTAAAGCTGTATATGATCCTGGGTGTGTTCAGTGTCTCTTGGATTATGGGTCCCCTGGGATAATTAAAGTACAGGAACACCAAATTCTGTTAAGCTGAAATGCTTCTGTTATCAAAATGCTCATCTCACTCAAGATAATGGTACATGCACTAGGAAGATTTCAAGAGTACAACTTGGGGCAGGGAAGCACACCAAAGCTTGTAGATACACTTCCAGGGTAGAGTCTGGGACGTCTTGTTCAGACTTCAGCACCTGAATTGTTGAATACTCCTATCCTCAGTTTTTAGTTTGTCCATTAAAACTTCTGTGCTTTTGAAAATACTCAGAATTAATAAAACCTGGAAAAAAAATGATGCTTTCTGCTTGTATCCTCATCTTGCACGTTAGTTGAGAGGACTTCATTCCTTATAAATAAATTAATAATTGATTGATTGAATTTCCTTTAATGCTTATGTCCCAATAACTCATCTTTCCGTGAAAAATCCACCTCTCCTTTAAAGGTTTTAAGGTTTGGGTTTTTTTTATTTTTTTTATTACTCTAAGAAAACATTTTCTGATCTGCTTTAATGATATTTTATTTTTAATAGTGATGAGGTAGGTTTTACCCTAGTTAGTAATGGTAATCTTTCAGCCCAATTTTGTGTAACTTGATCTTGTTCAGGCTCTTTTAAGAGCATCCTTTTTTCTTCAGTTTAAAGTCTGGTAATGTGTCTTATTTTCAGGAAATTGGAGATTCTGATGTTGGCATTGTTTCAGATCTCCAGATGAAAATGCACTTTCTTTTTTTTTTTCCAAATATGTAATCTTTTATGGTCTTTACATGTATTTCTGCTATGAAAAATGATTCCTTAAAAATGTGTTAGTTCTAACCAGCAATTTGGAAAACACAGTCATTTTATGTCTAAGACATACTTTTGTTTATACATACAAGTATTTCAAAGATGATTTGTGTAGGGCTGGAAAAGAGGAGCGATGGTGGCTAGAGTAAAGGCTTCCACATGTGGACGAAGTGTATAGTTTACTAGTCTGAGGGAGGGATTTGCAACAGGTACGTATCCAGTGTGCACAGAGGGTGGATAGGGAGTAGTAAACATGTTGTTCAAGGAGGCACTGAGTAATATTAGTGTAGTACATTTAAGGACTTCTCTATTTTGGACACACATTGTGGACCTTGGTGCCACAAGACGCTATGGAGTTCAACAAATCTCATAGTGGTTCAGAATGAGATTAGGGAAATTCTCATCAGTTTTGAATGTCGGTTTCAGGTTTCAGAAGATGCAATCCCTGGCTCAGCTTATCCTCAAATTGCTTACTGCTGGAAGCCAGAAAGGGTTTACCAGTGTGAGGAGCAACTTTTGGTTGCTTATTCCTTCTGTTTGAACAAGCAAGTAGCCACCTGTATGACAGGAGCAAGTGAATCTGTGTGTCACTGTTTATCAAGCCCCAGTGTATTTCTGTCGTGCCCTGCAGAAATGACTAAAACCTGAAACACAGCTTTAAACACTGGTGTGGTATCATGATGTACTTAGCATTGTCTGCTTCCCCGAAGAGAGCATGGTGGATTATTTCTTTTCAAGATGTATTGGATCTCTATATGATTGTAGTAACACTGTAATAAGCATATATATAAATTTATTTTTATAAGCAGGGTATGAATTGCAACAACTTTGTGGTATTTCTACATGCATCGTTTTTGATTAGAAAGCTATCTTTAAATTATCTTTGCTTGATGGCAAGTAGGATGGCTCTCTGGAGCATCTATTGGCCAGTTTGTATAATGTACTTGCTAAGCACCCTCTTGTGACAAAAAGGACTGATTTTTTTTTTGGAAATTTGGGTTTTATTTTTTCCTTATCAGCTGTCTTCTGAGGTAGATTACTGTTTGTTGTTATTTCCAGTGGGCGTTCAGTAAATTAACATTGCCAGATGTGTCTGTCTTTTCCACTTATTTTCAATCCAAAGACTTTAACACTCCTGTCTTTCAGTATCCGGGTCTAAGCCTCAATTAAAAAGTTTCAGTTTAGCTTTGATTTTCCTTTGGGCTGTCTATATGGTGGGGTACATATATTATGCTCTGTAGCTGCACTTGTGTCACAGATTTTTTGAGACTGTGAGAACTTACTACAACACCCTGTAGCTCCCTGAAAAGAGAAAAATCAGTGGGCTGAAATTAATACTGGATCTTGTCCTGATACATGCTCAGGATGCAGCATATAGAAGCCATTTAAACCCACACCACAGCAGTCTGTCAGTGCCTTGCAAGGTAAAGCTAGGAGGCTTTGACATACCTGTTTGTTTCTCAAGACTTGAATTAGTGCTTTCAGCTAGATAGATAAAGATGTTTGCATTTATCAAAAAAGTGATCTGCACTTTTCTTAAATTTGGAATGTCTTTACATATTGAAAGCTTGTCATATCCATGTATGTATTATCAATTAATTTATTTACTTTTTCAGAAAATATAATGGTCATATTGAAAGCAAACCTCTAACCATTCCAAAAGACATCGATCTTCATCTGGAAACAAAATCTGTGACTGAAAGGGACACTATTGGTAAGAATAAGTGGATGCAGACAACGGTACATTATTTCAAATATATCCTGGTTCTTTTTATCAAGTGTTTATTTATGATGAATGTTGGAATATCTTTTGTTATAGACAATGAATGAATAAAAGTACAACTGATAATAAAGTTTAATGAGAAAGCAAGAATTTGGGCTAAATCTCCCTTGTTCCATGGGTGACATCTTAGTAGCAGTTTTATGGAAAAGGATGAGGAGGTGAAATCCAGCATAAAGCATATCTCTTGCATCAGGCAGCCAGAGCAATATGAGACAACACCATGGTCTGTTTGAAACAGAGATCATGGCTTTTTGCAAGATAATGAGAACCAGCAGATGTTGAAACATGTATTTTCTGCTCATCTAAAATAGGGAATGTGCCGTAGTATTGAAGCCTAGGCCTTTCAACCACACATCTGAAGCATTGAGGTAAAATGCTTAGAAATCATAAGTGATGCATCATAAGCATTGAGCTAAAATGCTTAAAAATTTAATCTTATAAGTAGCGTTAAGTGTTTTGGAAGTTGCTGTTTTTTATATGGTAATTTTTATTTTCTTAATCATAACCAGTCATTCTGTTACAGAAAACACTTATATGGATATGTATGTATTTGTGATGCATTTTCTTCCAATCTACGTTTTTATATGGATTTGTTCTATGCATAAATACAGAAAGAAGTGTAGTCTTACGCAAAACATTTCTCATCTTAAATTATTGGAAAGAGTGTAGAAAATACCTTTAACAGAAATGCAGAGTTTTTTAAAGCTGGCACATAAATAACTAATGCATTCATGGGTTTAAATTTTTCTTATTTGCTTGAAATTACAGCATTTAACTCTCTCCCAGAATAGTTATGGATACTGATACAGTGTAAGGTATACAAACTTTTGTTGACTCTAGCCAGGTAGACATTTCAGAATAAGTATAGGACTTGGAAATACCAGAGTTTGGCCAATTTCATATGTTTGACATCAGGTAGCTTGTTGTCAACAGACAAGTCTCAGTATGTTTCGTGACTTCCTAACCATGTAGATGTAGGAAGAAGTCTTTGGGAGGGACAGGTCACAAATTGCAGTTTTCCAGCACCTGTGGGAGCTCTCTCTTTGTAAATCACCCAGCCTGCATGCAACTGCAGTATTATCCCCAGAATTTTTACAGTGGAATTTACACAGTAATTTCTCCTGTATTGCTGTACAGGAGATAGTAACAATATCTGGAAGAACAGGCCATCAGTATCTTAGATGTTGTTTTGTTTTGTTTTTTAAACAGAGGAAGCAATTATATATAGTATTTTAAAGGATTGCCAGTGAGCTTTTAGTCTTTTAACAGAGTAAAAAAACTCGTATCTAGAATTGCAGGTAGTCGCAGCTGGAGAATCATTTTCTGTTAATGATATTGACATCTAAATAAAGTATGCTTTTTGAGGTTAGGATGTTAATGTGTAAAAGCTGAGATAATAAAAAAGTAAAATCTTGTAGCCTTATAAATCTGAGCAGTAATCAAATATCAAGTAACAAGTGAACAGTGAAGTTCACTGTTGAGTGGAAAAAATGTGGCTTTTTTATGGTTGTTGGTCTTGGATGGTCTGCCTAGACCTCAGTCAATTGAAAGCGTTTTGTAATTGTCCGTCCATTCTATATATGTCAGTAACTGCCATAAAATAATTGCACAAACAATAATGCTTGCAAACTTGTATTTTTCAGCCTTGCATTATTTTCCAGAATATCAGTGGTTGGTGGATTTCACTGTTGCAGCTACAGTTGTGTATGTGGTGACAGAAGCCTATTACAGCATTGTGAAGCCCTCACAAGAAATGAATATCAGTGTAGTATGGTGTCTGCTTGTCCTGGCTTTTGCAGTGTATCCTTTTCTGTGTTTTTAAATGACTCTATCTGATCCAAATAGTCCACAGCATCCTACAATTCATATAAAGGTCTGTATTGTTGATTGGCAGGATACACATATATACAGCATTTGGAAAAAGGAGTGCGTAAGCTAATGCTGGTTGGGTAATGTATATGCTGTATATGCTGGAATCAAGAGCTTGTTAGTATTAATACCAAACCATTTATGGAAAATGAAATATGTGAACTTACATGTAGTTCTTATCTGTAGTATGGAGTGGTTCTAAACTAATTCTATTTTGCCCAGTTTGGCATTCAGAAATAGATTTCTGTACAGAGAGTGTTTACAACTTTTGGAGAAGTGTGCAAGTTATTGCAGTTTATTGCATACTTTAAGTTTGCAGTCTATTTAATCTGATACTTCCTGAACAAATTAGTGTAGTAATTTGTATACAAATTTATGGCAAAGGGATGTGCATGAATTCATAATTTCGAAGGATATTCAAGAAACTTTTACAAAGTTTACAGAAAATAAAATGTGTAGACAGCTGTGGGAGCAGAGGTGGTACGTTTTGGAAGCTCTGTGAAAAGCTGAATTTCTCTCTGTAACTGAGGGAAAAAGCAACCAATATTGGACCATAAAAGTAAGAAACTCTTATGTTTGTTTTTACTGGAAAAGGCAACATCAGACATGAGTGCTTGCACAATAATTAACTCCACATACCAATCCAGATCTATGTTTTAGGGAGGAAAGTTGCCTTTTGAAGACCTAGTAAGTCTTCAAAGCAGTGGAATTGCATAAGTGGAATTGCAACAGCGCAGGTTATGGAAAGGTGAGTTAGAAAATAAAGTTCTGCAACTCCTCTGCACCCTCAACAACTGACAGCCAGATAAAGTGCTAAGTTAGGGTCGATACAGTACTTGAATATTCAAAATTGATTCCTCAGTATAAATGCCTGTTCTTCAGTAAGGGTTCTTACTGTGTTGTGCATGGGGATTTTGGGTTAGGTTTTGTTGCTGTTAGCAATAGCTGGGGGTGTAATATAAACCCTTTGAAATCTAATGCTCAGTTATATTTGGATAACCATTCTGGATATGCTTACTGCTTTTCTGTACTTAATAATTATTAAAATAGGTGCTGCCTTTATGATAAGGATAGGAATTATTTCTTTAAGTAGCCTTGTTGTAGTTGAAGCCCATCTGGTAACTCAGAACCACACAGCCGCTCATGCACTCCCCCCTCCTTTGTTCCTCCCCCTGCTCCTGGAGGGATGGGGAGGAGAATCGGAAGAATGAAACTCTTATGGGTTGAGATAAGAACACTCCAGTAACTAAGGTATAGCACAAACCACTATTGCTACCACCAATAATAATAATGATAAGGGAAATAACAAGGGAAGAGAATACAATTGCTCACCACCTGCTGACCAATACCCAGCCCAACCTGAGCAGCAGTCTAGCCCTTCCAGGTAACTGCCCCCAGTTTATATACTGGGCATGACGTGCTGTGATATGGAATACCCCTTTGGCTATTTTGGGTCAGGTGTCCTGTCTCTGCTTCCTCCCTCCTCCTTCTTGTGACCCTCCTTCCTGGCAGAGCATGAGACTCACAAAGTCCTTGGTCAGAGTAAACATTACTAAACATTACTAGCAACAACTGAAAACGCCATTATCAGTGTTGTGCCCAGGCTGAAAGGCAAGAACACAGCACTGCACCAGCTACTAAGAAGGAGAAAAATGACTGCTATAGCTGAACTCAGGACAAGCCTGAGGTAAAAACGATACCCAGAACTTTCTATATAGAGTAAGAGCTTGCTGGAAGAGGGAGTTGACTCACATTATGAGAAAATAAAGACTGTAGCTTGCTTCCAGAGAAGGTATTTCTCCTTTGACTTGTCAGTGGAGAGGTCCACAGTTCAAAAGGTGTTTTTTCTAAACATAGTGACAGGAAAGTCAGTCGCTGGCTCTGAAGCACCTTATAATGATATTACAGCAGTATTACAGCCTTTGTTTTATTTGTTTGGGTGAAGTTGTGAATTTGAATTTGTTATTGGCAGGGGGAAAGAAGCAGCTATTGCTTAAGAAATCAGAAGTGAAAGCCAACACTTTTGACTCCCATTTTGAGGATGAGGGGGAGGTTAATAGTGCTAATGGAAAAACAAGCTTCAAATACTAAAGCCACAATGCACTCTTAAATGTATTGGTGGCAGCCAAATCTCGGTTATAGCCAATTTAAATAGTTTTACAATGATTGCAACTCTAGATGAAACAGACTTGCGAATTATACATTGCAGAAAAATCCACTGCAGTTAATTCTTTCTTAGAGTGGTATTTGAATACAGTCCTAATTACTGCTTTCGTTTGGTCATCAATTCAGGGCAAAACCAAATGCAGAAAGTAAAAAAGATGAAGTTGCCTGGCAGTGCAAGGTTTCTGCCTCAGTAGTGTGAGCATGCAAGTAGTTATTATTTTTTTTTAATTATTCCTTTCTCGCCTGCTATTTTTATGTAAATTGAGCCTAAACCAGCATTTCCAGTTTTTATTCTCATCTGGCTGAAGCACTTGGGAATACATTGCACATTTGGACCTGGAGAAGGTTGAAACATACCTAGTATTCCCTGCATGTTAGAAGCGCATTAGCAATATTTTCTTGCTAGCTTTGCTACGTGACTAGAAGGGAAATAACATCCAATAGAATAGTTATTAAAAATGAAAGGTCATGTGCTAAAATCTAAATTCTATGTAGAAGCTGTGAACAGTCAGTTGCATGCTTCAGCATTTTTATATCTAGGCATGTGTTGTCTAAGGGATCAATATTGTTTTGAGGTTTTGGTAACGGGCAGTATACTTCAGAAAGTTCTTAAGGAATTCTGTCAGTTTGTTGGGATGGGAGAAATTTCACAGAAGCTAAAGTTTATAATTCATAAGGCACTTCTGAAAGAATATGCAGATTTGGGAAAGTCTAGAGAATAATGACCTGATAGGCAGAAATAAATAAATTCTGGAAAATAAGAAACTTGTGTACAAGTGTAACCTAGTACTAGGTAGTTTAAGAGTTGTTAATCATACAAAGGGAACAAATGGTCAGAACTAGTTTTCTATGACTTTGTACAACTTTCACTTACTTATTTTTTCCTGTGGCATTAAATAGACGTTGTTTTTATTGAAGGCTTCCGCACAAAGTAGGTGATTTTGTAGAAATCCTTGTGAAGTCAATGCTTCGTAGTATTGAATTTACGTAATAACCTATATGGTTCCTGGACTGATGGGATGAAGTAGTGTGATCCTGTGCAGTCTGAGGGGTTAGTGGCAATGCAGAAGGCTGCAGTACCGGGAAGCACAGTCTAAACTTTATATTAGAGTTAACATTTTCGTAAATACATTAATATTATTTCAAGCATTATGGCTTTTTGGATGAAGGAGGATGGTGCAAAGGGTGAAATACAGAGGTATTGATAACAGTCCTCATGATCATGGGAACCTAGGCAGGTGAAAAGAGATGTAAAAAGAGAACTGGCTCATTTCATGTGTTGTGCCATCAGGCCTCTGGAATGTTGAGAATATTTTAAAATGTGTTCAACTATTTACTAATTCACTATGTCAAGGCCAGAATTTATTAATCATAATGTGTGAGAAAAATTTTGTTGACTTCAAATTTTCAATTGAAAGCAGTCAGTTTTGTGTTTTGATGACAGATATTTCTTCTGTTTCATGTACTAAGGATTGTACTAAGAACTGTGCTAAGGATTTGGCTGACAGAATGACCAACAAAAGCTTAGCGAAGTTGGAAGATTGGAATTTTTTTCAGTTGTGTCTTCTAGAAACAGATGTTTTGATTCAGTGCAGTAGCCAACTATTAGCATTTTTTTATGTTCATAGTGTAGATATTCAGAAAAAAAAATCCAGAAATTAATCTGGTGTTGGTCCCAAAGTGCTTTATTAGTGGCTCTTCTGGTTTTGGCTGGGATAGCAGCTTCCTGATAGCTGGTACAGTGCTGTGTGGCTTTAGTCTGAGAATAACACTGGTAACACACTGATGTTTTAGTTGTTGCTGAGCAGTGCTTACCTTGACTAACAGTCACATGTAGTTTGCATAATCATTCATTGATATATTGCGTACTGAATCTGTACTGTAATTGGAATTTACTGTCAGTATGCTTTCTTTTTTTCTAATGGCATTTTCAACATCCTTTAGGCACAGTCTGTAGTTGAAAATAAAGTGTCTAGGGGGTTATAAATCTCTTTATAGGTTAGGACTATTGATCAGAAAGTATTATGAAGTCCTTTGTATAACTTCAGGATTTTGAATCGATGTACATTCAGTTTGTGATTGATATCCCTAGGTGTTAAAAGATGCCTGGCTTTAAGAATGCCATTAGAGAAACAGAGCTTTCGAGAACATGGTCTGTATGACCTATTATGTACCTGTGTTCTGGATGAGCTATGTCTTCTTTCTGTGATTTATGAAGGGAGCTTAAGTTGATTACTGTTCATTTAGAGTTATTAGATGCTGTCCCTAGGCCACTTTCTCGTGCGTGTGAGTACCTCTTTGCATATGCATGAAATACAGCAGTATGCATGATAAATATGTGCTGGCTAATGAAGTGCAATATTGCATAATCATATAGTTTCTTGAGAGATTAACTGATGACTGTTCGTATGTATTACTGAATGGATACTCTAAAATGTGTTTTCTTGCAGTCTACATCTTAAAACACTTCCAGCATTTAAAAAAAAGTGCAAATATGAATTAATGTTATTGCATAGTTGAAAAAAGGCTACAATTTATACTTAAAACCATTTTTTTTCCTTTTTCTTTTCATTTTTTCAAAGCAGGTCATGTGTGGAGTGATCTCTAGCTACTGGAAATGGACTGGAAATTGCATGCCATTAAAAAAAAAAAGCCCACAATTGTAATGGGCTGCAGTAATAAGAGAAGTTCATCCTAATCTTCTGTTTAACTTTGGAGATAACTTCTGTGTTTAGAAATGTGTTAAAAAGGAGTATACTCAATAAGCATTTTAAAAGCAGCTTTGTAACAGAGCAGGTGATGTCTTAGATGTTTGTATTTGTGGCACTAGGGTTACATGAAAGGACTTAATATATCATACTAGACTGTAATGGGTTTTATTTTTTGTTTGTTTTTTTTTCCACAAGATGAGCATGGGATAGCTTTTTCTTTCCTACATACTACTAAACAAAGCACTTGTTTTACTATCTTTGATAGGTAAAAATTTCAAAGACATGCATGTGAAAGTAGGGAAATCTAACCTTCATCTTTCATCTGTTTTCTCTTTAGTAAACAGAAATGTAATAATTAAGCAACAATCATCACAGTTTTTTGTAAGGCAGATCTACACTCCCTATGTGCAGATACAGTTAATAAGTTTTATCCCATTATGGATAAAAGTGCCTGTTGGAACGCTGAGTTCTTGCTGTTTGCATGGCTGTTGTACCTTGCATTCAGGAAGAACACATATAGCAGCTCTGTGGTTAAGAATGTTTATTCACTTCCCCACCATCACAGTTGTTGCATTCAGAAGTAATATTTTGCATTTTGTAATTGATGTATTAAATCCTGAGTTATGCTAGTTCGATGGAGTATTTTTCATTTGTATCAATAATTTGCATTGAAGATATGGTTGTGCTATGTTTTGTTTGTTCTAACTTACATTTATGTAATTGTTTAAACTGTGGTTTAATTCTTTTGGGTTGATAGTGAATATTGCTGCAGTTGACTATAAATAAACAAGCCAAAATCAAAGCTATATTCCAGAGTAATGTATTCCTGGCTACCCCTTGTGTGATTATTTTGCTTTACAGTATTCTGTAATACTAAGCTGAAATTGGCTGAGCACATTAGTTAAAAAAAAAATAAAAAATAATTGTGTATCATAGAACAGCCCTAGTGTAGATAACCAAAATACCCCTTTATATTTCTTAAATTTAGTTATTTTACCTAATTTTCCTTGACCTTTTTCATGTGAAGCAAGGTACTATTTTCATTGACTACCCATTATTTCAAAGTAGAGGATGGAGGTGAAAGATCAGTCTGTGTCACCTTTGGTTTCTTTTTCTTTGTGAAAGCAATGGCAATTCTCATTGTGACAGAAAACTATCTAGAGTTTGGACTGGAATCAGGTAACTCCTATCTTAAGTGCTCACAACACCTCTAGTGATTGCATGACCTGAAAAATTTATTTCCAGACTTTTAGGTGTTTTTGAGAATATTTGCTTTAAAAAGAACTCTCATACACTTCTAAGAAATTCTGCTTTGAAGAAATTCTGCTTCAGAGTGCATATTCTGAAGGACATCCTGTGTGTTTTCCCCACTTGTTTTAAATAGTGAAGTAGTTGCCTAGGTTGTTTGTTTTGTTAATTATATTTGTCTTCCAGTTTTACATTTAACCTGTTTTGCCTTCTTAGAGTAAACTAAAGCTCCTTTACTGGAAAAAAAAACAAACCAAACACTTGTATTTGTAAAAAATAATGTTAATTTTATTCATGTTCCTGAAGCTTACAAATACCAGAGATGTTAAAATTCAAACTTTATTGCATACTAATTAGACGTAATGCAATATGTGGCTATGATATGTGGCTATAATATATGGCATATGAAAGATCTATGCTAGACAGAAGGGAAATTTGTTTGAAATAATAACTTTTATATAGTGTTTTATTTCAGGAAGGGATTCTTCGTTTGTACACTAATAAAATAGATATATGTGTCTCTGCAGGATTCTCAAATTTCTCCGAAAGTGCTATGCAATTTCTTGAAAAGCAGGGCCTGGAATCCCAGTAAGTTTCTGGAAATATGTTTGTCTCGTTTATGTGTGCATTTGTAACTGAAGCACTTGGACTTTCTTGGCAAGCATTTGTCTTGCATATTTTCCTCTTTGTACATACTTAAAATTTCTATAGTAATGTGAAGAGTTGAGTTAATGAAAATAATTCATCAATACAAGTTAATTGAGTTGCAGTTGTGTTTTCTGTTTTTAACTTGGAGACAGTTTCTACCCTGACATTTTGGTTGTAGTTCATAAAACATAGTTCAAAATTATAAAGATATTTTTCAATGTAATTCCCCTCAGCTTTGTAAGTATTGCTTAAAGCAGGTGATGGGTTATTTTTTGCCATGCCAGTCACATGCAGGAGGGTGAGGGTGCGGGTGCCAAAGCTGCAGATGGAGCTTGTTACAAAGTTGACATTGAGAGTAAATTTTGGTGTTCAGTCCTGTTTTCAGGTTGTCATAGCATTTTACTGTTACGCAAAAACATCTGCTTGCTACAGGACGTCCAAGTTTTGAACAGACTCTTGAAGGAACATTCCGTAGGTTGTAATTTTGCATAAATATACAGTTGCTATCATAGACAGCCTTTGTATATAGCAAAATAGATTTTGATTCTTTCCTTACACACTTGCTCTAAAATTATTCATGGGGCGTGTCATCAGTGTGGAAGGGCACTTTGGATGTTTTGCATGGAAGTCGTCAAGTATCATGCAGAAGCTATGGAATGTATTTTTGAGGAATGGAAGTTTCCTTAAGCTAGTATGTCATTTATGAATAAACTAATGGGAAACCCTTACCTGAATCCTATGGGTTTTCTTCACCTTGATTTTCCTATGCTATTGCAAGATTGCTAACTTCTGTATTACTTTTCCTGTTAAGTGTTTATTTTTTAACTTTTGTATGATGCTTTGGCTGTTTACAACAGCAGCTGAATTTGTGATAGTGTCTCTTAGTAATGTATATGACAAAGATTAAGACAGAATCTGAATCTCATGTGGTTTACAAGATTTATTTTTGTTTCTCTTTAATCTATGTTGGTTACATGTTGTTTGGTTTTGGCTTTGTTTTTTTGGTTGTTTTGGTTTCTTGGTGTTGGTTATGTTTTTTTTTTTTTGTTTTGTTTTTCTTTTTGTGTTATCCAGTGTTAAATCTGTAATTCAGTTTCTTTTCCTGAATTTTTCTCATATACTCAATAATTCATGAAAGCAAACCACATTAAGCATTTGGAAGAGTTACTTGTCCACATGTATGTTTTAAATAAATCTGTGAGAAACTGCAGTAATGAGTGTGTGATGGAGCTTTTTTATGGGTAAAGGTAGAATGTAAGTAGCATAACTTGAATATCCATTTTGTCTTTGACCAGTTAAACATGATGCATCTGTTCCTCTCTTAAAAACACAATGATTAGATTTCTGTTATATGATTTGCTGTTAATTCCAATTAAAATTACTCTTTTTTTTTTTTCTCTACAAACAAACAATGTCTGTAGGCAATAGCTCAGGTTTGCTGTTTGTCTGGGAAATAAATACTTGACCTTTTTTGTTTTAGCTCCTGATTGGTTTGTAATAAAGCTGTTATTCCAGAGTAGGACTATAGAATACTGTTCGCTTCTTTATTTGTTAGATACTGTTGAAAGTAATCTCTGATACCCCACCCCCCAACTTCCTCCCCAAGAAAATGCTTATTTCCTTTCTTTTCTTTTAGGGGTCCTGTGTCTAAACTAACCTTCAAATTGTTCCTGGCTGTTCTGTGTTCACTTATTGGTGCTTTTTTGACATTCCCTGGCTTGCGACTGGCTCAAATGCATCTGGATGCTCTGAATTTAGCAACAGAAAAAATAACACAGTAAGAGAAAAATCTATGCACATAGGTATACTACTGAGTCTTAAATCTTTAATGTCTGAAAATAAAGCAAACTATTCCAACAAGAAGGTGGTGACTAAGCCTTCTATTGCTGCCTGCTTTTCTTACCTTGAGCAGACTTGCCACCTGCCTCTTTCTGCTCAACCTGTGCTCTGCCAGTCTTGTTACATTCTTTGCCTTGTAATTAGAGTCCCAATTAAATGAGCTTTCCTTTTCTCCTGCAAAAGCTCCACCATGAATATTTCTGCTTACTGCTTCCTTTTCCCCATCATATCTTCTCGGAAGTTAAGATGACTTTCAGGAAGCAGAGGTGCAACCACAGGAATTTTTGTTTTTACACCCCCATCTCCAGGTGACCATCATGCATTTCATATATTCAGGGTAAAATACAATGAAAAAACGACCCAGAATATTTAATAAGGGTCAGACGTTAATATGAGTTTAAGGGAATATTTTAATTTTCAGCTGTCCTTAAGTTTGGTAGTAAAAATGTTTTCTCTGACTTAAGTGTTTCTCTTCAGCACTCTCTGGTCGAGGGAGAAACTCCATATGTCTTTGATAGCTCTCTGCCTTTGATGTTTTATACATGTTAATGACAGATTATGCAGCACAGACCATTGTGAGCCTGGTTACTTTCCTAAGAGAATCGTTATATTTTCTGATACAGAAATTATTTATGTTCAAACTGCTATTTTTTTTTTTGTTGTTGTTCCCCCAGAAGTGCCCATCTTAAAGATTAATCCGTGTTTACAGTGGGTCCTTCAGTCTTGGTAAATTTATAGCTAAGTATTCTGTGTTATACTTGCACTCATTGCAGCTGAATGCATCCAGGTATAGCTGAAAGCTGTTGTCTTCTTTTATCTGCTGTTAAGTTTCTGTGTATGTGTAGGCTGTGATCCAGTCACTTCTTAGTCTGTTCTTTTCAGATAACCTAAATAAACTTCCTAGGTTTTCGTTTTTATGGTTCTCAGTATTTTAAAATTTCTTACACCTTTTCTGTATGTGTCCTCTAATTTTCCAGCATCTTCCTCTATCTGTGGACATGAGATACTAGGCAGAAATACAAACCTACTGAAACAGAAGTTCATTAATCAAGAACTGAAAGGGTTAATATCCACTAGAATGGAGTTACGAAAAATTAATCTTCTCTGACTTAATGTTTAGAGGATTTTGGAGGTGGTTGTTAAAGATAACTTTTTTCAACATCAAGCAAATTTTCAGAAGTCTACCAATATGCTGACTATTCAACTGGGACAGTATAAAAATTACGTTAAATGGATTAAAATTTGGTCATATATCAACGTAATTAGGTAATGCAATTATAAATGGAGAATCAATGGCAAGTGATAGATTCTAACTGGCCTGAAGAGATTGGTATTTGCCCTTAGTGATGTATTTTTATCAATGAGTACGTCATTACGGACCATTTGCAATTGTTTGTCAATGACTAAATGTGAGTAGTAAATGAAGACAACATGTCACTGATGGAAAGCTCTGTAATTTGGGTGCAGGAAAACATTGTGTCTGCAGTCAGATATGTGGTCTGCTTTTAGAGGGGAAAAACCCCAACAAACCCACAAAAAAATCCCCATCCCAAACCCACAAAGCTGTCCAGAAAAATACCAGCCCCCAAACTCCTCCCCTAAACCAACTTCCCCCCACCCCCAGAAAAAAAAAACAGAAAAAAAACCCAACTAACAAAAGAATCCCCCACCAAAATAAACCCCAACCAACCAAAAACAAAACAAAACCCCCACAACCAGAAAAATCCCCAGAGGAAACAAGGTCCCTTTCCCATTATATTACAGAAAGGGAGACTTAACTTCCAGAGAGCACTGCCAAAAAAAACGCTACAGGTTAATGGTGAACTTACTTAATATACACAAAATGATTAATGTGTTTCTTTTATTTATATAGGAATTGAGTGGTATATGGGGTTTTTGTTTTTTCTTTGGTAAAAGGAATAAAAATAATCTGGAGTCCTTTTTGGTTCTGATAGCTGTTGTTTTTTGGTTTTTTTTTTTTGTTCTTTAGAAATGTTGTTGGCTGCTTATATTTTTGGGTATTAATCAATTTGTACCATTTTCATACACATTCCCTCATTTTCCAGAATCTTTCAGCTTTTCTCCCTGTACTCGGACAGAAAGGGATTCTTGCTGCCCTTAGCATATTCCAGTCCATTAACTTGGTAGGATGTCTTAAATAAGTTGAAGCTAAGGTAAAATACTTTCACAAGTTAGTGAAATGCTTTGGACTGTTCTTCGGTGCTGTCGTGTTCCCTGTCAACACTAAGTAACTAGCAGTGCTTATTTCTTCATCAGTGGTTTAAATGTGCCTGTGATGACATCTTCTGAAATATGCAAACATCTTAATGGTTTTAGGAAGTTTAGAAATCAGAAAGGACTTGTGTTCTTCAGAATAGTACCTCATTTTTTCTATCCTGTAGAAGCTCTCTGGTTGGAGATGGAAGTATAGACAAGCTGATTCTGTTAGTGAGGAAGCATTACACTAGCAAAACCACCAGATCTACAGCAGTGAAGACTTCAACTCTTTTAGTTTGATTTTAGTAATGAAAAATGGTTGGGTTCTGGGGTTTGGAGATGAAGAAGGATTCTGGAAAAAAAAATCTGGAAAACTACCTCCTTTTTTAAAATTCTGCTGTTTGTTTTGTACTGAAAGATCGCAAGAGAGTACTACTCTGCTTTTACATTGATACTGCAGTTTTGTGCAATGCTTCTAAAATGGAATAGCTGTGGTGACTTTTTTTTTTTTCTTTATTTTATTTGTTTTGTTTGAATATCTAGTTGAATGTAAGTACAAGTTTCCTTTAGTCAAGGTTCCTAAGTAAAAAAACTTCATTACTTTGTTAAACTGGGAAATCTGACCTCTGAGAACTGTTTCCCCTGGTCTCTATCAATAATGAAAATTAATCTGAGTAAATTTTTAATAAAAAAGTAGTACTGTAAGAGTATATTTTTAATATATCTGATCATAATTATCTGAGATGCTAACTCTCTAGATTAAAGCTGCAATTAGCTAGTGCAATTTGATGTTATACCATCACATGGAAATTTTCGGCAACTGTCTTTTCTGTCATGTGGCTTAATGCAGGCAGCTTTTTTGGTTAGATTGTTTAGAATAAATCAGGTTTTCAGATAGTCTAAGAGCACTTTTTTAAAGCCACAGCCAGTGATTTCACAGTATGTAGTATTACTGATTTGTTGAAATGTAAGTCATACCTATAGAACAGGGAAGTAATCTTATTTAACTTCTTACCTATTTTAAAATTTGGTTTTCTCCTTTTCAGTCTGTACCCCCTACTTTCAACAGTATGGTAATTGTGTTTAATAACTTCCCCTCCCCCCCCCCTTTTTTTTTTCTTATTTCTTTCAGAACTTTGCTACATATAAACTTCTTGGCACCTTTGTTTATGGTTCTACTGTGGGTAAAACCAATCACTAAGGACTACATTATGAACCCACCTTTGGGCAAAGAGAGCATCCCTTTGTAAGATTCCCTTTCAATTTTTTTTTCTGGGTTATTGAGAGCAAAACCGTAAGTCTGAGTAGTGTCCTGTGGAAATGATAGAAACATGAAAGACTTAAAATTTAATAGTATCTGCTGTCAAAGGTCTTGTGGAAGTTGCAGCTGGGCTCTGAAGAGCTGATTATTTTGGAAGAATGAGAATTAGTTGCAGAATTTTGAATTTTAAGGTGGTGGTTCCCAAAATGCTGTCTTCTGGCAGTGGTTTTCTTCCTAGGGGTGGAATACCACCTCACTGTCACTTTCTGGAACCTTGTATCTTACATGTTGGGACAGGGGAGGAGTGATTTCACTGATGGCAGTCAAGATACACTGGCATGAGAATGGACCTTGGTGATTTGTCTTCAGATGCATGTGTAGATGGAATGCATATGAAATTGATAACTGAAATATTTAAAAAAACAGAAGGGAAAGGAATTTTCAGGAAGAGTGATATCTGCAATAAATATAGTATCAGTAGCATAGGTGATTGTCATTACCACTATTCGTCTAGATAATTCAGAATAGTAGTATGCAAACAGATATGATTGCCTGACACTCATAGCTTGCGAGGCTTACGAGATGCTTCTAAGGTGTTCCTCAGTTTATTTTACATGAGGGCTGTGCTATAGCAGGGTATCTAAGGCAACTGAAGTGCGCATTTGCTATCCAGAACTGTGTCTCAAAACCTGTAATTATCTGAGCGAGCTTGTATTTTAGCATCATATCTTCATCATTCAGAATTTAAGCCTTTAAAAACTGCTCTTGTTCACAGACAAATGGATACCAATGAGGATTTAATGCTGTAACAGGGCTACTAAGAAGCAGCAGTAAAGAGAGAGTCGGAGGGCAAAAGTGAATCCTACTTGCATGTGAACATAACTGTAGATTGTGTATTAAGAATTTTTGACAATGTGCTTCAAGATTCCTTTACATATGATACAAATAACTGTAGTAGTAAGTGACCGATGGAAAACAGCTTTACCTTTTTTTTTTTTTTTTTTTTTTTTTTCCCACAGGATGTCAGAAGATACTTTTGACACTGTCAGGCTGTGGATTGTAATCCTGTTGTGTGCTTTACGGTTAGGTATGATACGCCATCATTTACAGGCCTATCTGAATTTAGCCCAGAAAAGTGTGGATCAGATGAAAAAGGAAGCTGGCAGAATAAGTATGGTTGATTTGCAGAAAATGGTAAGTGTGGTGCCACGGAGGTTATGTATTCAGAGTGCTCTGTCTGTACAGATGCTTTGTTCCAATTTTTGTGTCTTCTGTGGCACCAGAGCTGAAATCTGAATGAAGCTTCCTAGGCTATATCTTATAAAAAAAGCACTATCACAGAGAAATTCTGCAAACCAAAATGTGCAGAGAGGTATCACACATTATACAGTTGTCTTAAGTTATTGGCAAGTTGCCACAAAACAGATTACTCTCTTAGGATTGTCACTATTACTTATAGTCTTGTCCTTGGCTTAACTGAGTAGCTGAAGGTCATAAGTGGACTGTGCAGTAATTATTTGCAAATGCAGTGGCTAGCAGATTGTTTCAGGAAAATGTTAGGAAATACATGTAGCAGAACCTGGTTTAGGACAGAATTGTGCTCATTGCTGTAAGTACATAACCTTAGTTCTGGGAGCTTTCATCCTGTCTATAAACCAGTATTATTTTCTCCATACGACATGTCCTGAATCCATTTATCGAGTATCTTCATACCTTCTCTTTTCAGAAGGACATAGACACTAAATGAAGTCCTGTCTGTCTTGTTTTAGTAGCTATGTCTGCTTTATCTTCTTTCGAAACTGCCAGTAAAGTCTTTCCTATCTGTCATCCTACGGGAATTACTACTTCTTTAATTTGTTCTTTTTATCTTGTTCCATCCATTTCCTTGCAATATTTTTTATCTGGTGATTTTTCTTCTATTGGTGTCTTGCTACCTTTTCTTCTCATGTAAGTTTTGTGGGTTTTTTTTTTTTTTAATGCTTGCTCATCAGAAAGCCCTTTGAGGTTTTAGAGACATTTCCATAAATGTTATTTCTGCCTTCATCTTTTTTGCCACTCTGTAGTCTGTTCTCTAAAATCCAGTTAGCTTTATTTCATTGCTTGTTTACCATTGATTTTATGACTCTTTTCCTTCTTTATTTGGTCTAGTCTTTCAAGTGAATAGCTTACATAAAATATGTAATGTGACAATTTTTGAGAAAGGTGGAATAGATTGGGAGCAGTGGGAGGATAAATTTGAATGGATTTCAATGAACCATAACATATACCTGAAATACACCATTTAAATGCTGTTATTGATCAACTACTAATGAAAAGTCATCTTGTTTTTAAAATAGTCATGTTTTACATAAATCTTAAAAATACCTTGCTTTCAAAAAAGGGCTGCAATATTAATCAAACTTTTATTTGCTTCATGAGGCTTTGGACTGTAACTACAACTTCATTTTTGAAATGGGATTTAGTTTGTAAATCACTGGGGACTTAAAAAAATATAAACATGTTTAGCTGGATTCTGGTGTGTTGAAAGGGGAACCTTTGAATGATGATACATAATTTACAGAAGTAAAATTATTTCTGTTCCTTACAACAGAACTAATACTTTTAATTATTTGCTTTCAAGTCTTTCTGTCAGATTTGTAAACATCTTGAAACTAGAGTTCATTATAGGGATTTCTTCAGTAGGTCTTTTGAAGACTATATGTCACATGCCAAGATGTGCTGGAAAACTTTTAAAACAGCTTTAACGCATAAATACCCTCTTTTTTAATAAATTGCTTGTTTTTTTCTAGACTTGTTCATAAGGGTTTGCTCTGATCAGCTTGAACTCATGAATTACTCTTTTCTGTTTTCCCAGGTGGCTCGGGTATTCTATTATCTTTGTGTAATTGCACTGCAGTATGTTGCACCTTTGGTAATGCTCCTCCACACAACTCTGCTCTTGAAAACACTAGGTAAGCAAAATTGGATAAACAAAAATATGTTCTGCTCTATGCAGGGCTCTTACATTTTCAGCTTACTGAAGAAAATTAGAATGTAAGGTACCTGCAATACAGAAATTTACTGTAGTTCCCTGCAGTATAAAACATTCTGATGTGTGGCTTTTAAGCCATCCTTTTCTGTTGCTGCTTTTGACATCTTTCAATTATATGCTAATTTATTTATGAGAAGTTGTGCAATACAGCCAGTAATGCTCTTTACTTCTGTTGAAATGTCTCTTAAAAAGTATTTTAAAAGTGAGCTGTATAAAGCATTGATGGTTGAACCTTATGAGCAGCTGTTAAGGGATTTTTAGTTTTTTTTCAGCTTTTCAGTCTTCAGTACACATTTGAATGGAAATTGCGAGATACGGGGTTCATTTCATTGCTGGGAGAGCTGATGTCGCTCTTGGGGTCTTTTTTTTCTTCTTTCTTTCTTGTGAGGGATGTCTTTCACAGCCTGCTATGCAATCATGGCATTCTTTTTGCAAAATGTCAATGGAAAGAGATAGGCTTTATTAGGCACTGATTTATCCCATTCTGGAGTAGACATCTACATCTGGTAAGATGAATCATACCCAACACTGACAGGGTTCCCAAGGCAGCTATGTCACATCTTCACATCTGGATGTTGGGTTGTCAAAAGGTAAGATGAATCCTAATAGCTCACTGGTATGATCAGGATGACATACAGTTAGTATTTACCAAGTTATAAGAACTTCTGGTTTTGTGTGTGTGAAAAATATATATGATGATCTATAAAGTGATAGAAATAACAGAACTTGAATTTAAATCTACAAAAAATGTATTACTTGTTTCTTTTTAACAGGTAATTATTCTTGGGGCATCTACCCAGAACTGAATTCTGACACTCCAGTAGAAAACAGTCTGCTTCCCAGTTCAGTTTATTCTGAGTATCCACCTGCTGAGGGAAAGATGAAAGTAACTGTAGTACAAATAACAATGGCTTTGGGAAGCCTAAAGAATATTTTCACTCCTCTCCTGTTCCGGGGACTCCTGTCTTTCCTCACCTGGTGGATTGCTGCTTGCCTCTTTTCTACAAGCCTTTTTGGGCTTTTCTATCACCAGTACCTGACTGTCGCCTGAACAGGTCAACCGGGAAAGCATATGTGAAGTCAACTACTAGATACAAACCCAGGTGACCAAGAAGAGGTGAAGAGAAAAGAACTATAAATGAAGAGAAAACATATCAGAATTTTTTTTAAACACTTCCTCTGTGTTCTCAGGGTGAATATTCATATAATGTTTAAAATCGCAACTGAGTTTGTTATTTTTTGTTACCCAAATGGTAGGTAACTAGTTGAATTATAGTATCGGGACTCAGTGACATTATTGTTTGGCAGGTGGTGACAAAAAGATATGACCTCTGGTATCTTGGTTTCCATAAACAGCAAGCCAGCCTCAAAAGTTTGTGTTATAAGCATCAACAGTCAGTGACTGAGCTGTGTCAGAAGGGTAGTGGTTATAGTGGTGGTGGCTGCCTATCAGTTAAATCTTGAAACTGAGCCATACAATGGAAGGAGATTGGGGATTTAAAAAAAAAATAAATAATACTGTTGGATAGCTCTTGATCACTTTTCTCTGTGAAAAATGAAAAAGTCCAACAGAACAAAAGAGATACTGTATATTACAGTAAGGAAAGTTGTATCAGATTTAAAGTTAACAGGAATAGATGCATGGGCCTGACAGGTATTGCTGCCTAAATATTTTGCAGGAATGCTTGTGCAGTAAGAGAAGAGTTATAAAAAACATATTATTTCAGTACCTGCAGTCATTTTAAAGTAGTGGCCATCTGTATTGGTGCTAGTATTGATCCACAGATTCCATTTGAATCTTTTAAATTTCTTTTCAGGTAATAGATAAATTCCATTGAATTCACGAAACAATAGAAGAATAGTGACACCAGTCAAACATTTCAAAACAAAATAGTTTAATCCTGCTGACTGAGACTGTATGTATCTCTGCAGTGTACATAAAAATATATATTATATATTAAATATATAATATATATGAAGTTATATAATATGGAATCTTTATTTTAGATTACTGAATGTGTCTTACAGGGCCATGGGAGAGGGATGTATGTGTATCTAGTAATTCCCAGATCCCTATTAAAGTGAATTTTTTTTTTTTTTATTTTTTTGGAAGTTCAGTTCAAAGGGCTGTTTTTGGTGCCTTTTCAAAGGTACTTAGCTATACTAAAGAACTTAGGCTCTTTGGGAAGAAAAGATCTACTTAAAACTCTTAATTTTGAAATTTCTGCTTTCTCAGATCATCATCTTTTGCCACTCTAATCTGTGTTACCTTGGCCATATAGTAACAACCAGTATCTCTTGGCTTCAGAAACAGATTTTCTGTTCAATAAAACAGCTATAGGAAGGAGGAGCAAAGCATTAACTTTACAAGCTTTGCTTAACTGGAAGGATAGATTCCAAGTATAAAACCATTGCAAAAAAAAAGTAGAATGACAATTTTTCAAATGTTTTGTGTAACTGCAGAAGAGGAGTGGGGATTTATATGCAGTAACTTTTTTAAAAAGTTAATATTATACTTTGCAGAGGTCAGTGGTATTTTTAACTAATACTAGCTGTTTTGATGTTATCGTTCTTTCTCTCCTGAATTTGCATACAGCTTTGGCATACATCAAGCATTTATAAATGGAAAAGCTTAACTATTTAATATGTAGCAAACCTACCATGTGGGAAAACAAACTCAATGAAATGTGGAAAATCAACAGTTTAAGCTGGTGATAAATAGTCTTACTATGTTGAATGCCTTTTAAGTTATTTATTAGTTTATTAAATTGCATTTACTAGGGAAAGATTTTTGTACACCAGCTAGTACCTATCGCATGCATTGAGGATGTCTGAGAACACCTTGCATGAGTCTGCTGGTTTCATTGTAGTGTGGTATTTCAGTGCTACTGGTGCAGCAATCTTTGGTTGGTGTTTTTTTGTTTTTGTTTTTGTTTTTTTTTTTTCACACCAGCTTTTCGTAATTAACAGGGATGAAGGCTTAACTCTGTGAATTGGCCTAAAGAAAAATACTTGACATCATAGATTCAGACCTCAAAACATGCCTAGGAAATGTCTTTCAGATGAACAGAATGACATATGATGACAGCTCCAGCAATGCTGGACATGCTTTCTATTGATTCGAGATGTATCATTACTAACATAATTAATAAGGTCAGCTTTTAAATTAAAGTTAGGTATCCACTGTTAATGTTTTATTCAGGAAAATAAAGCGATATAGGGCAGTTGATTCTGACACTGAACTTGGCTGATGAAGCTTACTGTAGAGAGGATTTAACCTATTGTTGCAACTGAAGGATGGGAGTAAACTTGGATGGAGATGACATCAACATAATGCTAAGTAACAAAGTTTCTGTTGGCGTAGGTATTTTGGAAGCTCATAAGTAAAACTGAGCTGTAGTTAGGTTGCACCCAGCAAAGATTATGTGCATAGCTGAGCTTCACAGAGCTTTTGGTAAGAGCTCATGCTGTCTTACTCTTCAGATGTCGCACTGATCACAGTAAAAAATGGGCACCTGGATGTTGTAAGTTTGAGATGAGTGCTTACTCTTTCATTGTTCTGCAGAACAGAATGGCTGACCTGGTTGGCAGTCTGATCCGAGTGGGAGATGATCTTTGTTTGGATCCATTTAATCCTTACGTGAGTGTAGGAGGCTTATTAAAAACTAAAATATAGCAAAAAATGCCTTTGAAATGTGAGGTGACAGTGAAACAAGAGGGAGCATATTGCAGTGGTTGTGAGCAGTGCTTCCTACAACTACATGACATGCTCAAAAGTGACTGTTTAATAAAATAGCAGCCCTGATAGTCCTGACTTCCATGTAAGTTTCAAAGCAGCATCTGCTCTCTTCTTTGTAAGTTGCTTAGAAACAGCAGCAAGCAAATGGTGTTATTTCTTCATGGGTAACTTTATCGGCACCGAAGAGGAGGAATCATCTTGCAGAAATGGTAAACCGGGTTAAACATTACTGAAATCTTAGTAACTTTTATTCAGTATTCTTAAACATTTAGTCTTGCTTTTTCCCACTACCTAAGTAGTTTCAGAGACTTTAGAAGGAAAGGTGCCTTTGACAGAGAATCAGCATTTTTTTCTTTCCTTATTTTGTCCTTAATTCTGATCTTGCTTTCTCTCTCCAGTAATGTGACTGTTAGCTTTATTTCTCTTTCCTGTCCACAGCTTTTTTCTTGTATTCCCTACAGAAAACTGATTGGGCTAAATTAGTTGAGGGTTGTATTTTGATTTTTATTGTTTTGGTTTAAATTGATCTATTTGGTTTAATGAATCTGTTTTTGAAGGATTAGTTCCTTTGTTTAAATAACTTTGAATTTCAGCTGAAATATGAACAAACTTATTAATGATTGTTCAAACACTCCACTGTTATTATGGTAGTCCCTTTAGACAAAATATTAAAAGTCGTGATAAATCCAAGTCTTCCAGCAAATTCAGGGAAGCCCAGACATAACACTTGGGCTGTTTCTGAGCTTAGAGGAGTTGATTAAGAAGAGGAGAAGAGATTATAACAAGCCTTTTCTTCCACTTCGCAGGCAGTGTTCTTAGCCAGTGCTTGTCCTGTTTTGGTACTTTCTTAAGCTGCAGGCTTTGCCAGGTTTTCAGGTATTTTTAGCTGCACAGTTTTTAGTTCTTCCAAACTCCTTTAGCATAACAATCAAGTGATAAAGTGATGGGGAATAAACAAGTAGTATTGATGCAAAAGAACATCTTTGTACAGAAAGATGTGCTTTAGAAAAGTCATTCCTATAACAGTTCTCCTTTGAGTCACAAGTGCTGCGAGATGTGTGAATAGAGATGTGTGCCTATGTGGGTTGTAAAGCCAAACACACCTACAAACAAAAAAGCCACCAGAATACATCAACAGCACAATTGGGTAGCATAACCTCAGTCTGTAAAACAGTTGGAAAATACAGAAATGTCAACTGGCTTAAAAGGAATAATGGAAAGTTTTGTACTTTGTCTCAGTAATTGTGGTAATTGAGGTCTTGGACATACCACAGAGAAAACTGAAAGCATCTAATCTTAAAAGCTGTTGGAAGGCTCTACAAGGGAAAAGGTCTTATGCTTCTTTATTCTCAAAGCCCTTTTGAACATTAGCTTGTTTTTCCAGAGAAGATTTTGAAGTTTTAAAAAGCTCCACGCTTTGTCACACAGCTCAGTTTGCACATTTATTTGTTTTCCACAAACCCCGAGACTTAACCCCACAGTTAATTTTGTCACTACAAATTTACCAGAAAGTTTTAGTTCAGATTGAAGAATTAAGTGCACAGAGAAAATGGAAGTGTTCAATGAAAATGAGGTCAAAGAAAATTGTGTGTTGTCTTGGAGAAGTCTTGAGATTTTGCTCAGCCACAATAGAAAGAGAGGAAGGCAACAGCAGATCACTTGTATCCAAAATAAAATTTTAAATGTGAATGTTTACCATTATGAGCACATAAGACTGTTATTTTCAGCATCTGCAGCCTAAATCCCAAGTGGTAAACTAAGAGCAATATTTTGACCTCACTCATCATTACTCTAAAGAGCATCTAGGCAACAAGTGTTGGAGCCAGATGTCTGGTCTAGTTAGGCAAGCTGATGTAAAGCACTCAGCCTGTGCTTTGGAGTGATTTTTGTGCAATTTCTTCTTTAGGAAGGTCTGTCATGTTTCATGGCTTTGGCAGTGCATGCACTGATATAGATGGCATGTCTCATCTCCTTCTAACACCATGCTGAAAGGTCTTCCTCTTCTGGGGGTGAGATCATGAGGCCAAGATGTTATTTCAGGGCTGATTTACTGACATCTCTATATGCTGCACTTTTTCCAGTCTTTTCACTGTGGACTGCCAGGAGAGTAATGCTGCACTGGACATTGTTTTGCCTGCCAGTATATATGTATTTTTTATAACTTTGATTTCAGTGGTGTTTTTAATGGAAATTATGTTTAATCCTGATACCATGGATCATTTTTTTTTTTTTTATTAATGTCAGTGCCTGCAAGCAGATGTCAAATACTTTTACACTAAATTTTGGTTGTAAAACTTGATGTCCAGACTGAAGTATTAACAAGTATGCATTTTTTTATTGCAGGGTGAAATCCACCTGTAAATACCAGACTTTTTCCATACATGACACATCAGTCACAGATTTTCATTTGGATTCACATTTCTGTCAGCAGCACGCTTATGTGTATGACTCTGCTGTTTATAAAGCAAACACACTTCAGTAGAGTTTTGAGAGTAGCTTTTTACAAACCTCCTCAGTAGCAGGCCATTTCTATTTTATAATGTTGCTAAGAATTTTTTAAAGCTTGGCTTAAAAGATCTGTTCTTCTGGCAAGCCTTGTTCTCTTTCCCTCTGTTCACTGTAAATCCACTTCCTGTATATGTTCTAAGTTTCAAGAATGGGGATTTATAGTATTTTTTATAATAACCTGGAACAAATTAAAGCGCAACAAAAGTTTTGTTTCGTAAATACAGTTCATACCCATGTCATGGTGTGCCAACAGTTTAATTTTCCTCTCTTCAGTCATTCCTTTGTCCCCTTGTAACAATCTTGCATGTTTCGCTACGTAAGGTCTTCTAGGAGGACTACATAAATACTCTGTAATATCAATCACAGGAATCTGTATGTTTTGGTCTTCCCACTTATTTGAGCAAATGTTAATGTAAAGATGCTATTATATAATTTAAAATTTCTCATAAGGTAGACTGGTTGCAAATTGCACAGGGAACATCCTCCAAGCTGTAAATATTTTACTTTATGTTTCTTTGTTGCTGGGAACACACATAAATTCAGTGTTGCTGTTCTGTTAATAGTCTCTTTTTCTTGTCTTTTTAAGTAAAAAGCATATTATGCATTCTGCTCTTGAACAAACCTAAGAAAAGACTTCCCTCCCTTCGTTCAGTATTTGCCAAATGAGAAAGACTCTGATGCTATTTATGTAAATTCCAGCTTCCTCTTATTGCTAAATTACTGTTAAAATATGATTTTTGTAGTTACACCTTTATGAGTATTAAGAACATCATGCTTCACAGCGAAGATGGTGTCAGATGGTTGTTGTGTTGTATTGGCATGTCCCTGACCAGTGTTGCATTACCTGTGGCTG